ACTACATCCACACGGACATGAGTTTCAACATACTTTGGTCTTTGTGATGATTATTAGGAGATGCAGAGTGCACCAAGAAACAGAATCTGGCGTGAGCAGAACTCCTGGGTTTGGGTTTGTTCAGGACTGCAGGTTTGGATTTGTGTGGTTCCAGGTGTGAAAAGTAGCTATTAAATACAGATCTGAAAGCATGAGGTGAAGTCTCCATTCATTGCTTTGTATTACTTGAAATAATGCATTCAGAAAGCTTCTTTCGTAAAAAAAAAAAACCACAATCCTAAAGCTTTACTGATCTATTATACCAGTCTTTCTAAAGATTTGTGTTAAATCAGCATTAATTCACACTGAATTTTTTTAAGGTTGTCAAGGCCTTATTTGAAACTCGCTTGCCCATGTTTAACGTTTTAAACAGACCTTGCAAAATGTGCAAGATGAAACATATATTCATGTTCTCATTTCTGCTCTGAAAAGGAACTTTACAGTTCAAAGCAGAATTGCTAATATGACTGAAGTTGAGGAGGTTTGGCCTGAAAACCTATCATTTTCATATTTAAAGTGTCTTTCAGCAATCTTGCACATAGATTACAAATAGACACTGAACTGAGGAAATACTTCTCCAGCTGCAGCTAGTATTTGAGAGTAATGCTTTCTGAATGTCATACCATTGGTCCAGGAAGAGAATTTAGACCTCATCTTGAAAAAAAAATCCTGAATTATTAATTTACTGTACTATTTCCAGCCTTGTGAGATAAGTTCTTAAATATTTTATGGAACAGCTGTTGACATGACATTCAAAAAGACTGAAAGATACACACACATACATGAGTACACATATACATGTTTATATATAAATATATTTAAATATATTTGCAGATATATATATGCATGTGTATAATAAATTATATAAAGTATTATATATTATTCCTATACAAGTAATATATAATGTTTTAATAATATTATTTATATAGGAATGTTTGTAGGAATAATATAGACTATTTATACACACACACATATATAAAAAAACCCTTTGACAATCAAAGGGAATGGAAATGACTCTTGATTCAAAGGGATGTTTGTAGGAATAATATAGACTATTTATACACATACACACACACATACATAAAAAAACCCTTTGACAATCAAACGGAATGGAAATGACTCTTGATTCAAAGGGTTCTTATTGCAAGGCAATGGAAGTAAAGACCAAGTCAAAGATAATAAACTGGAAGTTTACTGGGAAGTGTGTCCAAGATGCCCACGAAGCAAGGTTTGTTTTCCCCCATGCTGTCAAAGCTCTAGGTTACATAATACTCAAAGGAGTGATTGGTTGTATAGCAGAAGAAATGGACCTAAAGCTGCCAAAGCAAACAGGCGAAGTGGAAAGAGGTGTTGGTAACAGTGCTAAAAGCTGCAAATGGATCAAGGAGTGTGCATCACCGAGTTGGAATGGAAGTTTAGTTGCAAGTCTGAATAAAGGAATGCTAGATTGGACAGCTGATAATGGGGCAAAGAAAGCTTAAGATTTCTTGGGCGTTAGAGAGATTGAGGCATCAGTCAATTAAGTGACAGAACTGGAACAAAGTTCTGGGATGGTTCTTACCTGCACGAGTCAGTTGGAGTATTTATATATAAAAAATGTTACTGAGTTCATTTTTTTATTTGTCTCCTGTAAAACATTACAGCTTTCTATGCAATCGTCAAAATCATAATGACAAAGTGATTGTATTTAGCATTCTTTATTTCTGATAAGTTTCTGTTTCTGCATCAGAGACCCTGGATGGACAGAGAGAACTCAAACAAGAGAAAAGCTCGCTGAGTGTTCAGTACTACATGTGAGTTAAAAGTTTCAGTTTGCTTTTGGTACATAATATGCCTGAATCTGTAGTGTGTCTTTGCAAATAAATAAATAAAACCAAGATAAAGTTTCCTTCTCCTTTGACAAGCAAGTCATGTGCTCCTGCATTTTAGCCTTCACAGCTTCAGCTCACTTGAGCAGTGTTGCATAAGATCCCTTTCCAGGGTATGCAGTCAAAGCCACCATCAGGTCTGGATAGGCTTGAAAACTGTAATTTTTATGTCCTTGAGGTGCCATGGTAGAGACCAGGAAGGTAAATAATTAATCCAAACCAGATCTGCTCCACTCAGGATTCTGTTAGTTTATGCCCTAAAAGTCAGAGGGTTTCATTTTAGAACTCAGCTGTGTTTAATTTGAACTAATGGATTCTCTTACTGTTAATGAAGCTATTTATACTTATTTTAAAAAGGCACATTCTTTTAAAAGTTATGTATATGTTGCATATTAGATATCTAATATTGCTGTCTACTGTAAGGAATTGGTTTTTACTCATTCTTATTTCTGTTGACAAGTGATTCCCTGGTCTTGAAAATCCCAGCTACGGGATCTCAGAAGATACAGCTTCTGAAATGTCATCGCCCAGCAGTAATTGCCCACACTTGGAATCTGTTGGTGAGATAACAAAAGAGGAATTGATACAGAAATCTCATGTGAGTTGTAGCAGCTTACTTTCTTCTTATTACAGTTAACTCTGGTCACTTACTTTAGCTACATATCTTGTCATGTAGTATTAGCTATAAGATGCAATTAAGTATTAAGCGTGGGTAAAATCAATGGGTACCACAAATGCTCACTGTCTTAATTACCCCAAATGCAGCAAATGGACTTTTCCCGGTGTCTGTCTTCTTTATTTTTCCTTTATAGTAAGGTTTAAATGAAGTACGGGAAGAATTATGGGCTTGATAAAACTGAAAAACTATTTTTCTGTACTTGACACTTAGAGTACCTTTCCCAGCAGTGTTTTCTAAAGCAAGTGATGTTTTAATGAAAATATTAGTAAAGAGTTAGCATAACACCGAAATGAACTTTATTTTTGGACACTGCCATTGTAGCAGTTCATTATTTGGAATGCTAATGTAATAATAGTATAACTGACTGGACTTCAAGTAGAAACTGCAACAAAGAAATTTATGCTTAAGTTTTTCACTTCTTATGGAGGAGCCATTATGGAGGAGCCGTGGTTTGAAAAACTGCCCCTACCTGAACTCATCGTTTCCAGCTAGCATTAATAAATGGAACAGAGAAAGATCTTGTAACCCATTATAATATCTGGGAGGTGATGAAAAGCCGAGGCTTTTCTGTCCATGGTGCTAAACTTCTTTATCTGAAAAGTGTAGCAGTTATTTTGGTGCTGAGGGGTATAGCATTTCTCTAGTGTTGCATCTTTTTTTGTAAACCTTTGTAGGTGGTGTTGACTGTCTGCGAATAGGAATATGCAGTTATTACATGTTCTATCACTTTCATATTTTTTTATGTTAAATTGATAGGAAAGGCCAATTTTGAGGCTTTTTATAATAATGTGATATGATATATGTTTACGCTTTATTTAGAAGAACAATTCTTGGTTTAAGATGAAAACTCAGAGATTCAAGGTTTTACTAGAAAAATATGTTGATCTTCAGATGCTGTGAAGCAAAACAAAAATTGAGTTGGTAATCAACACATCCTTTTTTCTGTCTTAAAATTACGCAGTTGATACTGAGCCTTACAGTATTATTTCTCATTTTGTCTCAAAACTCTGGTTTACTGGTGAGAGTAAATGAAATAATACTTTGCTTGTGTGTTTAATAGGGCACTTGTCAGGACTGTGAAGTCAGAGGACCCAACCTTTGGGCATGCTTAGAGGTAAGCTGTTCTGTTCTTCCACAGTAGGGTTCTTTTCTAGTAATCTGTAGATAAAGTTGGTAGCATTCTTTTTAAGAAACAACTGTAATGAAGTTTTTAAAATTAGTTTCTATTTAAAAGCAAAACCTCTTGTGCAGTTTTCTATTTTTAAAATTATTTACCTTTTATCAGATACATATTTCTTTTAATTTAAGAATACTGTGTTCAGAATGAGATTTTTTGGATACGAAAGTAGCATATTAAAGTTTCTTCTTGAGTTATGATATTTTTTAGCTCTTAAGTTTTTTTTAATCTTTCCCCAGTTCTGTAGATCTGAAAAATAATATATTATTCCTGAATTAATTCGTCTCTTAGCATTTGTGGTAATAATACCTAGCAGTAAAAGATGACTTTTTACAGCATAAAAATATGTACTCTCACTTTTTAGTTCTTAAGCAAAACAAAGAGAAAACTCATTTTGAAACTTGTAGAGGCTTGTATAAACATTGTTCAAACTTTGTACGAATTTTGTACAGTCTTTACCTGTATATCTTTCCTTCTTAAATGTGCTTTTGGCTTACTCTTCTTGCCATCTACAAAACCATAATTTTCAGTGTATTTAAAAAAAAAAAAAACCTCTGAAAACGTTGCTTCTGATAGATCTGTGACACCAAGAGGAAAGTGTGTAGCTAATTTAGTTTTTAAAATGTCTCGTGAGTTCTTCAGATATACAGCTGTTTCCAGAGACTGAAATTTTGCTCTATAGGCTTGACTTAATTTCTTGGCAACATTTGTCTAATCCTGTTGGGAAAATATCTGGGCTGAGATGCCAACCTTTAGGTGTATGTATATTTTTAAAAATCTACTTCATTAGTTTCCTTTTAAGTGGATTATGGTAACAGTTGAGACATCAGATTATTTTGCCCTTTATATCAATAAGGGGTAGAAATGAAGGGGGAAAGAAACAGTGTTTCATGTCTCTTTGTTAGATGGCTTGAAGTTTAATTACATGTAAAAACCCTTTGGGGAATAGGAAGAGGTGTTCAGGGATACATCAACCTGGCAGGTGGGGAAATGCTGTGAAGCTTAAAACATGTTTTTTATTTCTCACTTAGAGCTCTTAAACTGTTACTGAAAATTTTAATTTCATACCAACATTTCCATAGGAGAGTTTTCTAATTGCAGTAGGACACTTAGTGTCATGCTGTGGTATATCTCCTCTTGGATGAATTGGCATCTTGCCTTCAACTTTTCCAGTAGAAAAACATGGTGAGATCCCAGCATGTTAACTATCTGTAACTTAACCAATATCTGTGATTATTTAATGTAGAAAATTGACTGTGTTCAGCTGCTATTTGATTGTATAAATTAACGTGCTTAGAGAGTTACACAGATAACATGCTGTACCTTCTTATGTGATTGTCTTGACATGCAAATGAGGAATTAATGAAAATTGCTTGAAGATTGGCAGCTACAAGATTCCACACTCAACTCGGCCAAATATGTCTTGCAATTAGCACAATTAAAATCAACAATTGTTTTGCATGTTATAAATAGAATGTAGTAAGTACTTAACCCTATAGTGCTGGAACCTCTTATTTTAAGATGAAAAAAAACCTAACTAATTGGGAAGTAATACTCTGATAAATAGGCACTGCAGATAGGGGCATACAGGAATTTTTCATAAATATGTCATGTTCCGAGGCTGTTGCAATTCAGTATTTTAGACACTGGGCTAATGCCACATTTTCTGTAACAATCTCTACCAAATCATGAATTGTAAAAAAAACCACATGTTGACCTTAATCTGAATAAATATATCAAAATGGTCAAAAAACTATATTCCAAATACATTAAATGTCTAACAGTGCCCACCAGTGAGAGGAGTTGAGTTAAATCTTGCAGCATTCTTACTTGCTTTAGGTGTTATTTATTTTAACACTTACTGTGCATGTCTGTTGGTTTGTGTAGGGCTCTGCAAGTTTGAAATTTGAGTGAATTTTAAAGGGACTGGCAGTATTTCTTATTCTGTAGTGGCACTATTTACTGCAAACAGGCAGAATTACTGTCAGTAATTCCTATTCTGTAAACCTGTTTGACATCACTTTTTAATTCTGTATGCTTCTTCATCTTTTGCTCAACAGAACAGATGTACATATGTTGGCTGTGGTGAATCCCATGTTGACCACAGTACCACCCATTCCCAGGTATGTGTATTTGCTAGTAGTACAGTTACTTGAAGCAGTGAAGTAGAATTAGAGAACTCTTTTTACTCATTTTAGTGAAGTCATTAACCTGTGTTAGCATAACTGGAAGCTTGATTAGCTATGATTGTTTTTCATCTATAGAAGCAGGTCTTACTGATTTAGGGGTATGTGAGTTTACAGTCTTTGTGCAGCTGCATGATTATTTATGTAATTCTGACTTCATTGTGCTCCTTATAAGAACATGGTGAAAATTTAAAAAAGAGCAACAGTTACTGATGATTTTCAAGATGTGTGGACAAAAGAATTCTTGAGTATTTCAGCTTACATGTAGTACTTCAGTGTTTCAGTCTAACTTTTTAGGATTGTGGCTGCCTGATGGGTGAGGGGAGGGAAGTTGGGTTAATGAAGATGAGAGCTGAACAGGTGTAAGATAGGAAATATAAACTACCAGAAACAGGCACTTTGTTTCTGCATTATGCTCCCTGTTCCAGTGGCTACAGATGAAGAACCTGTAGACTGAGCTGAGCATATCTTTTCCTGCTATGTCCTGATTTTGCATCCAGCTTGGTAGGAGCAGTGGAGTGTGTGCACTATGGTCCCCAGCATGCCAAGTTCTGGCAAGGTTGGACAGCTTGAGTGCATCTGTTTGGGTCTTAAACTCACTGTCTGTTCTGTGCACACTTGCCAAAATGAAGCAAATGAGATATATCATTCTCTCTTAACAATTATACTGGGGACAGAGGGATGGCAGTTTTATTAATGTGTCATTTCAGAATTGCTGACTTTATGATTAAATGAAATTCTTGCCACCAATTTACAGTTTGTCTGTCAGAAAATACATCTAAGGTTCCACACTGAGCAATTTTTGGTCCTTGAAAATTCTGAAAATAAAACCTCTGGTGAATATTAAAATGATCAAATAGTATATACTAAGGCTTCACAAGAAGTATATACCACCACTCCTGATTGTTTTTTTTGAAGCAGGGCCTTGAGAAGGGTGCATATTTATACAAATTAATAGTGCATTAATATGAATCTATTTAAATACATTTTTTTTTTGGCCAGCTATTTAAGCTGCATCACTGTTCTAAAGCCTTTACAACAGATATATAAAAGAGCTCCTTGTAGTGGAATTGGGGAACAGATGGTCCCTGAATTTCTTGCCTACAATATTTTAGCTCTTGGCTTTCTACAGTAGTTTATTCCCAATTTACATACTGTTTTAGCAATGTTAGGTACATGACAGGTAAGAGAAAGGGAATGGATAGTTTGCTTGCTGTCAGTGACATCCTTGTCTTGATTTTCTTGTTACTTAATTTCTGGATAGTAAGCCCTCTTCTGGATTTTTTTTCAGTAAAAAAATCTCAGTAGACTCACTAAAATGGGAGGAACAAGGTTGACATGAATCAGTTAATTTGTGTTTACTCCAGTTTCTACCAGCAAGGCTCCCTGTACTGCAAATAAGCATGTTCATCATGTCTACTTCAAGAAGATTAATAAGCTGTTGCTCTGGATACTTGTAATTATTTATGCAGCTGAAGCCACAGAATCAAGCAGATTCTTGTGATTAAAATTGACCGAGATACATACATCATCTGATGTTTCTGATGTTTTTTAGTACGGGGAGGGCTACTTAATGAAATTGTAGCCCACATTATATATGAAAAACATTGTTCTTGTACAAGGCCATATTAAATAAGGTGAGGAGGAACTTGGGCATCCTGCAGCAGTTGTAGTATTTTTCTAATTTCTATCAAATCCCTCACTGTCTTTAAACCTGGCTGGTGCTGACATCTAAGGAAGAAATACAGGAAGGATTGGTGGAAATATTTAGAGGATGATATCAACTGTGTACACAATCTTACAGTAAGCAAATAGGTTAAAAAAAGAAAGGTGAAAAATAGAACAGTAAAAATATTCTCCATCTGTCAAATTTTTATATTGCTTCACAGTATGAAGCTGTCAACAAGAGAACTAATTGAGTCTAGAGTTTTTGTTTTGACGTGAGCACCTCTTACTGTAACTGAACTAAAAATCTTACCTTACTCTTCTGATAGATTGTTAAATAGCTTGAATTTCCTACAGCAAACCAGTAGAAATAAACACTGCCCTTACTGCAGAGGAGATGGCTGCCATTCTGACCAACAGCAGACCTTCCTGGAAAATCGGTTTCTTTGTGAACTGTAACACTTCTGACAAGAGGCTTTCTTCTTGTTTTTGTACTTACGCAGAGGCATGTCAGATATGACAGTGGCTTAGATTCTGATTGTACCTTGTTGCTAATTTGAGTGACTTGTACTAAAAATGAGTGTTGTATAGTTTGTGCTAAGCTTTCAGTAATTGAATTGCTATTTTTTAATATCCTAACATACATAATTGTTGAAAGATCTAGAATTTTAATACTTCTGTTCTAGCTTGCATGCAGCAGTATTTAATTATTCTAAATTTCTGATTCACAGCTTTGTTTTTTGTTCTGTTTTAGGAGACAAAACACTGTCTAACTGTCAACCTTACTACACTCCGTGTTTGGTGTTATGCCTGTAGTAAGGAAGTATTCCTGGATAGAAAATTAGGATCTCATTCTCCACTACCAAATGCAAGACTGTCTCACCAAGTACAAGAAAATAGTGTGCAGGTATTTTTTAATCCAGTGAAACAAAAGGCAGCTGTAGCTTTGCAGTAAACATTGTGTCTTCTTTCAAGTGAGAGACTGACTTTTCCTCCTTTCTTGTGGCTGAACTTTCTATTAATTTCTCTCTATTTTTATAAAATTTCTTTAAAAAGACAGTGCCTAGTTTCTGTGTTCTGTCTCTGTGTACTGCATGCATCCTAAGAATGCTTTATCCATCTTAATGTCTGGTTGATTGTGATCTACAATAAACAGTACGGTACAGAAAAAGCACAGGGTTAAATTTAAGGTTACAAGATTGGAATAGTTCACCTGCGCTTCCCCATTCTGTCAGCTCTTGAAAATGTTATTTACAAAACTCATTGCAGTAATTCCTGGTTAACTTACAGGGAGCAGCAGAATGCCTTAGTATGTGTTCATGGATACTTGCCTGAGACACAAATTCATTCATACAAGCACAGTACTTTTAGAGAAATATATGCTAATTGTTAACCTCGTTCAGCTAGTAATATGAGACACTTAAAGGGATTCCTAGAACTTAGTTTCTGAGGTTTAAACGTGTCTAGTCTTCAGTTTTGATACATGACTGAAAAGGTCTTGATTTTTATGTATGTGTATGGGAAAATTTTTCCAGTGGTGTGGTATACACACAAACACTCCTGAATTTAACTACTATGCAAAAATTTACTAAGAAGGCAGTAGTAACCTGTGTATATTCTATATATGTGTAATTTGGGCGTAGAATGACAAATACATTGTGTTAGGTTCATGTGGAAAAGTATGTATCAAACTAGAAATCAGGAGAACACTAATAACGTTCTGTGGCAGTTAGGATTGCCAAGGAGTATAAATATGCCAAGGATAAAAATATGGCCAGTATCTGGGAAGTTGATATTAGTAGAGTAAAACCCAGGCTTAAGATTGTAGCATTTTATATGATTATGGCATCAAAGGCAGGACTTTTATTAAAGTACACTAGCTGTTCCAAACTCCACATTTATTAACAATTAACATAGTAGATGAAGAGTAAGGTAATTAATAAAGCATTAGCTAGTATTGGAGACAAGTTAGAGGCAAAAAATGAGCAAAGCAGACATTACACAGAGAATTTTGAAATAAGCTATTTGCTTGTCTTGTTCTTCTGCAATTTCAACAAGATTTGTTTAGGTTTGGTTTGTTGTTTTGTTATCTTCTGGTTACATTAGTCTTCACTGACATCAGTACTGTTTGCTCTGGTATCTTTTCTAGACAAGTGTTGTCCTGGAGAAAGTTATGCTGCAGTTTCTTAAGTATAATGGCATAATGCATGTATCTGAAAAAAAGGTGTTATTTCTTTATTGCATATTGAATGTACTTATATAAAAATATCAGGTAATTCAGTTAAAACTGACAAAAGTACAAGTACGGTATTTCTAAAATTGTTCTGCTTGAGGCATAGAGCTATGGAAGAGATACTGTGATGCACAGGTTGGACAGAAAGATGGGTAGTTTTTCAGTATATGTAGTGAGGAAATATCCTTTAATATTTTCACTTCAAAGCTTAGCATTTAATACGAGTGTAAGCTGATTATTTTCTCATAGAATACCAGCAGCTCAATTGGAATAGTACCATTGGAATATTTTTTTTAATTTCTGTTGTCCAGAAATTCTGGTGACCTGATATAAAGCTGGGTTCAGACTTCTGAACTTCTATTGTATTATACTTAACTTGTTTTAATCTTCCAAGGAAATGTGTATAATATATAGAAAAATCAGTAGAATTTACAAAGTTTGTCACTTTGTTTATAACTTTTATTTATACATATGCTCACAAAAAGAGCTTGTCATGCAATAAATGTCTGCCTGCCTAATACTCTGTTTCTCTATTTGTACATTCTGCTTCCAGCAGTTTAATTTGTCTTTGTTAAATGTAGTGAGCCATCTGGTGGCATATCAAAAGCATACACACTAACTTTTATGTGATGACTACTGTGTTAGCTTTTCAATGCTGTTTGTTATCCAAGGGAAAGAAATGCTATAACTTGCTTTGTTTTGATTCTTCAGCTGTTGTCATAAAATCATGCCATGTTGCCACTGCTAATCTGAGAACAAAAATGTGAGGTATTTCTTAGAAAACTTTATCAAGGTAGTTGTGGAATCCTATTATTCTCACTTTATGTGCAGTGAGATTTCAAAATGCATTCTCATAATTTTCAGTTCCTGGATTTGTTGATGAAATTATATGTAAGCTCAATTAAGAGGAAAATTGATAAATACAAGTATACTTTTTTCTTTTTCTCCTTATAAGGATTTTAAAATACCTAGTAATCCCACACTGAAGATTCCGCTAGCAGCTGTATTTGATGACTTGGATGTAGAAGTGGAAGAAGATGAGTTAAAGACTAGAGGTAATAAAAGCAAAATCCAGTGCTTTATTGCCCATTATCGCATGTGTATGTCTCAGAGTCTGTTCTCCAGCTATATACTAGTTCTCTTCTAAGTGGAAGTGTTTCCTATTCTGCTCCAACTAAAATCTTTATTTTTGGTTTCACCTTTATTGCAGCAATCTCTACTTACTTTCAGAGCAGAGGCTGCGATAATAAATGTAGTGCATCTGTGCAAGCAGCAACAAAAATAAGAAAGCATGTTGGCGTAATGTTTAGTGTAGCTGGTGTTCTAGCCACTCTAGTAAAAGTAGTTTTTTATAAAATCTGTCCTAATGTTTTCTCCTGGCCTAAAAGGTTCCTGATTTGAATGCTTTCCTGCATTTCGGATAATCCTTTTCTGAGCCTGTAGTATTCCAGTATGGGTTTTTGGTTTTTTTGTTTTCTCCTTTTGAGTAATGGATTCCATGCACTACCAAACTTTTTAGTATAAAAGGTTACCCCACCCTATGAAAATGAGTGGGTGAATCCCCAGTGAAGCCTTAATTTCTTATTTCATAAGAGAGCATAATTACTATTTCTTACAAGTCTCAAATTGGTATTGATAATTTTAAGAAGGGTGTATGTATTTGTTAGCAAAGAAAATACTTCTAACTACCGTTTTCTCAGAAAATCTGACCAGCAGATTGTTAAGCTACTGTTTTTGAGATGCCGGTGCATATGTCAAGGCAGTTTGTTTTCCATCAGCGATGATAAGAGTTATTCTAATTTATGGATCTCATTTCTCCTTTACTCATCTACTACCAGCTTTCCCTCTCCTAAGTCTGCTGGCATTGGCCAAAGAACCTACCTTTCCCTGTCTGTTGTCTGGCACGCTCTTTCTGGATATGTCACCACCCCACTAATTTGCCATCTGGCCTTAAATCATTAAATCATGTGTTTTATTTCCATTTAGTTTCTCCTGCCAATGTGTGTATTTGTATATCTTCTTGTCTTATTAATATTTTTGGGAATGTACCTCGTATAGAAGTAATATACAAGTAGAATTACATTAAAGTTCCCATTAATATTGATGTGACTGTGTTAATAAATTTCTCAAATTTAAGGGAAAAAACTTCTTTAGCTCCATTTTAACTTTGTTCTTAAAATGTCTTTTGAAATGCTTTTGATGAAGGAAACATTACAATATATCTTTGCAAGAAAAGAATTCTTTTCAAAAAATTTACTTGCAACACTGCAGGCTGGAAAACTGCCGTGAGGGTACCTTCCTGGTATATCTTCTGCTGTTAAAAAAATAAAATTAAAAAAAAATTTAAAAGTCCTATGACTGTTCTTACTTTCCAATTTCAGTAAGAACAACTGTCCTTTTTGTAGCAGAAATTGGAAGGGCAGAATGCAGGTTCGGATGTGGGAAGCAGGACTATGTTTCTGTTCAGACAGGTAGAAGAACATTTTAGAACTTAAAGATGAAGTTCTGTTTGTTAGAAAATTCAACTGAAGTAACCAAACTGGTTTTTAGATGTAAAAGGATTTTCTTAGTAAATTTTATTTTTTCTGCCACAGACTAAAATGATCGGAGTAATTCCTATACTTCAAGGGTTGCATAGAGCCAGCGGTGTTGATTGCTGAATATTTTAAGTTTTCCAGTCTTATTGGTTCTTTCCTTATAAATGTTACTGTTTTCTTGCAAAAAAGCAATTTTATTTTGAAATTAATTGATTAATTAATTAAACACTTTAGTAGCTATGAAGAGCAAGTGTTTCAGATTAATTTTTTTAAATTGAGATCATATGATAATTATGACTTGTTTAAATAGCCTTTCCTCAAATATTTAGAGAGCATTTTTCATTACTCCATAATCACTGAAAGAGTATATGTTAATCGTAACTTTTATGTGTGTGGAAAAGCTATATGGGGATATAGGTAAGAAAGTAAACAATCTGGGCTTGAAAATAAATTCTCTGGGGAATTCTAAACTGAGCAGTCTGTGTATAAGAATAAGGGCATATAATTGGTGTAGGAAAAGGTTGATTGTAGGTAATTATAATTCTGATTCTGGGATAATCACATGCTGAGTAGGTTTTGAATGTTTAGCGTAATCTGACTACTAGCATGAACTTGAGACAGAAGAACAAAATCTTCCTTGAATTGCTTTTAGTAATATGATTAACTGTTACGAATGCAGCACAGCAACAATTTAACTGAACAGGTAAATCATCAAGTTCAAGTAAAACTTAAATATTGATAAACATATCTTAAATTACAATCCGCAGCAGTCACAAAGCATCAGAAATTGGTAAGATGAAATACAGTCTACTTGTTTGAAGTGGTTTAGTCAGCCAAAATCAAAGCACTTAATTACTTCTTCTAGTTAGATTAGTATTCCTTCAGGAGTCCTACATTTCTTTTAGTTACAACTGTGCATTATAATTGGCATCAGAAGTGTTACATGAGTGGTTTAATTAATACATATTTTTTAGGAAGTATTTTCCTTAATATGTCTTGTACTGGATTAACAGACTTGATGAATATTCATTCTGTTTTTCAGGTCTAACAGGATTAAAAAATATTGGAAACACTTGTTACATGAATGCAGCTTTACAAGCTCTTTCCAACTGGTAAGGAAAATGGTTGTAAATGTGATTTTATATTTGCTTATATGTGCATTTTCTCAAGATGGACTTAAGGATTTTGAGCGGCTGTACTACCATAAGAGATGATGCGTATTTGTTAAATCTCAGTCTTATGTACTACAAACAGTTGTGTCACTGACAGGAAAAAAAAAAAGCATTGTAGTATACGGGGACTCAGCTTTTTCCCTTGTTTCATTCTAATCCTCACTGTCTTAAATAAAAATACATGCAGTTCTTGAAATTAGAAGAAGATCTGATAAAAGCTATTAAGTTCATGGGTTTAATGTGCTACGGAAGAAATCAAAGGAAATGCATAAGAATAAACCCTAATTAAAAAAGAAACGTATTGAGAATAAAAGGTCCAAATTCAGTCCTTACCAACAATGCATCTGGGACATTCTATGCTAAATCATCCTAGGAATGTCTGGAATACAAAATCTTCTCATCCGGTGGGGATACCAGCCAAGTTCATGAAGGAGAAATGTACAAAAGCTGAAGAGATAAAAACACTATCCAACTCTGAAGCTTCTTGCACTCAAAATGGTTAGGTGGGGACAGAACTTGAGCATGTATCATTTACACTTACTGTATGCATCTGGTTTTGGCTGCAATCCAAGACAGGATACAGGGCTAAGTAGACCTTGCTGACAGCCTTTCTTGAGGGAGAGGAAGACTGAGGCAAATCACTCTAGAAGGTAAAGATGTGAACAAGGCATCTAATCGTGAAGAAATTATTCTTTTGACAAGTACCAGCTTTTGCAAGTATGCTGGGATATCTCCGTTCATGGATAAAAACAGATCCAATCTGTATGAGGGATTGTGACTTCAAAAGGGAGAGAAGTGAGAGAGTATGTGAGTTGGCAACAGTGCATGAAGTAAACAGATAAATAAGCATTTAAGTATAAATTATGTACATACAAATATCACATGGCACTATTGGATTATAGAGGAAAGAAGATTTGTTTAAGATGCTATTTGTGGGCTAGGCTGATGGTGATTGTTACTGTAGTGGTACATGTGTACTTCTGTGATGGCTGATAGGAACTGCCTTGAATTTGAATCTGATTAGACAATGCTGGTGCTTTAACAAATGTCAGAATAGATTTGAGGAGCAGTGTTGCTGTACTGCTGAAGTTGTCCTGCCATGAAATGTTCAGTTGCAGCATTTAAGGATGTAGGAAATGGAATTGTTCAACTAAATAATACTATTGCTCTTTTTTTTTTTTTTAATAATGTATGAAATGTGGATTTCCTCTTGTATTTTAACAACCTGAAAAAAACCCTTTTTTCTTCATTTTTAATCAGCCCACCTTTGACACACTTCTTTCTTGACTGTGGAGGCTTAGCCCAAACAGATAAAAAACCAGCAATTTGTAAAAGTTACCTCAAGCTGATGACGGAACTCTGGCACAAAAGCAGGTATTACATCATTTTGGTGATGATATGATTATAAATAAACTCCAAAGGCATGAAGGATGTATTAATCTGTCCTAGGTTTCTAATTTTTATTTTGTGTGTATCACAGAATCACTCTTACAAATGAAGGAAGGAAAGACTAACTTGCAGGATTTAAATACTCCTTATAGCCTGTTCTTTTGCATATCTACCAGAGATAGGACAAATAATTGATGTAAATTGTAGTAAGGATGATTTGATAAGAAATAGATGATAAACACCCTACAAAGTAGCATTAAGCTTTTAAAAATAGGTTTATATCTGCCAGAAATACATCTAAAATGTGTAACTACTTTATCCTCTCTGTGTCCTTCATTCTGTATCAAAAGTTTATCAATTTCTCTTATTTCCTTATATGAAGGAAGTCTAAGAAAATATTTCAAAAGATAAGTATGAAGGTAAAAAACCAATAATTTTGCATAGTGTCAAGGGTATGTCTGATTTGTCAGCTGATTCTCTGACAAGAAATGTAGCTTAAAGAGAGACTGTATCAGGACTTTTCTGTTGGATGACAGATTTTTTTTTTTAAATGTATTGTTAATTATTCAATGCCAATATTATGTTTGGTTAAGATTAATATTATTGGTGTTAGATGCTTTATAGTTCAGCTGCAGGTAAAATTATGATCCCATAGAGACAGAAAATTCCACTTAAATGCTTTTTCAATGCATATTTATATATTTGAAACTTTTGTCTTCTTTAGGCCTGGTTCTGTTGTTCCTACTGGTTTATTTCAAGGAATTAAAACTGTTAATCCAACATTTCGAGGCTACTCTCAACAGGTAAAACTTTCTGATGCCTTTTAAATCTGCCTAAGCCATAAAGTTATCTCTTATTTTTAAATTTAATACTTAAGATACCATGCTTCCTATATTTGTTTAATGCAACGTAAACTTTAGTTTATGTGCTTCAAACGTAGATCATCTGAAACCAAACCATCAACAGTTAAGTTTTATGTTTGTTTATATTAAATTCGTGAAACTCCTTTTCCTTTTTTTCAGGAAAATTAAAATAATACGTGTCTAAAACTTTTCCTTTGTGTGAAATAATGCTGCTAATCTTTGAGCAGTCCCAGAAAACAAAATAAAGGTGTTAAAAAAGAAAATATTATAGTAGATTTTTTTTATATTCATCCACCAGTTATGTTTTTTAAAAAATTAAATACACAGTATCCAATTTTCATTTGGTATCTTCAAAAAAACCCCAAACCACCACAGTGTGTTTCGTAAACAGTATTGTGGGAACTGTAAGTAGGTAACTTGTTAGAGAGGTATGGATTATTACGTAGTAAAGGCATTCTTCAGTTGATGCTTCACACAGTATCTTGCTGCATTCATACAGTTTGTAGTGCTTTATGAAAATCTGTTGGGCTGGAGGAGAAATTTAAACCCTGTAATTAGAAAAGCTTACTAATATCTTCCAGGAAACTGCTGTTATTCAAAGGAATCTTGCTGTTTCAGTTAGCATGTTTCACATTTGTGGAGTGGAGGATTAGGACATGTTTTAATGTTCAAGTGCTGCACGTACCTGTAAAATATTTAAATAGTAATATCAATGTTTTTTAATTTACTCATGAATTTCTTAAGAGCCACGTGAATTTCTGGAGAAGTAGAAAGTCAATCTTGATAACTGAAAAAAAACTGTATGGAAACTTGGTTCTCACAGCTTTGAACACTGATGAGAATGTCTTTTTCCATACAGAGCAATACTTAATGAGAACCTTTTTAGGTTCTGCCTGGATCACACTTCAGTTGTATGTTTAGTAGGTTTCATAGCAACAATTAAAACAAAGCAGGACTTTCATGACCAACACTCTCCTGTTGCCTTGTAAGTTGGGCAGCCATGTCCAGTATTTAGGGAGAAAAGGAATTTTGCTCAGTGAAGAGTAACTATCAATTCCTGTCTCAAGGTTTGAGTTGTCTTTTTTTTTTTTTTTTTTTTTGTGACTTTTTACAGGTAATAGGCATTTTTTTGTGACCAAGATAGGGATGCACAGTGCTTGCTTTTCACTTTTATTTCCTTTATTCTTGGCTTCAGAATCTATACCCTGTATTTTTTTTTTTTTTTTTTTTTTTTTGTAGAAGTATTACCAGCAAATAGGCATTATTAGATTTATTTTTTTTCACTACCCAAACCCAAAACACAAATCTGATTGTTGTAGTTTTTAAGAAATGTTTTCTAGTCAGCAGTTGTGAGCTTAATAAGTAATTGCTATGATGGATGGGAATGTTGAGCAGCAAAACCTATTATTATGAACAACTAAAATACAAAAAGGAAAATAGAAGCAGTAGTAGCTGCCAAGAAGAGGCTATTGTTTTCTTCCATGCTTGCTTTATTAGATATTGTCTATTGCCAGGAACCAAGCTGCTGCATGGATTGTTGAAATTTGATGGTTTTTAAGATATTTCCAAACACGGATTAGACTTGTAGTAATACTTGACAGCTCTTTGTGGAAACAGTGATAGTTGAGGAATCTTGTCCAGGCTTGAGAATAATTAAGATCTTGTTGGCAGTATGATGCAATTGGAAAGACAGGCTATAATACTTTTTTAATAAAGTACTTCCATGCCCAGTGAAAGCAAGGCTCTGATTGCTTTGCTGGAGATGCTGCAGAAGGTTTTAAAAAACTGTCCCTAAAACGTTCCATTGCCAGCAAAGCTGGAGTCTGACCACACTGTTGGTAATTGCTTGAGTTATATTTATCATTCTTGTAAGCTATTATAGTATTTTTGTTAAAGTTGTTGAAATAAGCTTTTTGGGAATTGAAATGTTTTGGAGGAAACTTGTATGATAATACCTGTGGCATGCAAGAAATGGCTGCAGGAAACAAATATGTGGTCTGGAAATGAAGCTTCTTTTGAACATTAGACCTGGGACAGAGGAATTTACCTTATTCTTCTTTAACAGCTGTCTGTAGCTTTTATTTTAGTGATCTGCATTTCTTCCTGATGTGACTTCAGTATCTTTCAAATAAAATGGAATAGTATTTTAAAACTTGTTTAAAATCCTAGGATGCACAAGAATTTTTACGTTGTCTAATGGATTTGCTTCATGAAGAACTTAAAGAACCGGTTGTAGAACTGGAAGATGCCCAGCCTATGAGTGTTGAAGAGAGTATGGAAGAAGACAAGAGCCAGTCAGATGTAGGCTTTCAGCCCTGTGAATCCTGTGGAACCTGCGATAAACCAGAAAATGACGCTATTTTCAAACCTGTCTTAGAGGATCCTGCAGAGACAACCATGTTAATTCAGGATGATGATAACAACTCAATCATGTCTAAAGATTGGCAGAAAGAAAAAATATCAAGCAACAAGCTTAAACGAGCAAATTCTATGGAAGACTTGGAAAAAGACTCAAATGCTACTTCAGAGACCACTGAATTTTTAAATAATCAAGGAACTGTAAAAGTACAGATACACAGCAGATTCTCAGGTAACGCATTACTAATGTGCAATTGAAATAGTCAAATTCTTAGCCAGAATATCTGTATGAGTGGAAATGAATTGTAGAATATAATAGAGAGGTATAGGTCAAATAAGGTATGTGGATTTACTTGTAAACAATGCACCTTCTTAATTTATTTTTTCAGTTTAGGTGTTCTGAATTCAATTTTAATTCCCTTGAAAAGCTAAAGATTTGTACTGGGTAAAGTTTCAGATAACCTGGAAGAGTGGGGTCTTTTGGTTGTGTTCTTAACTTAAAGGTATGTGTATTGAAATGGTGCTTCACTCCTAAATGTGCAGTGACATGACCTGACAGTGTGATTAAATAAATTACATTGTGTCTGTTCATTCTGCAGTACATTTTTTTGGTAGAAATTATGAAATAATGCAAATATTAATTGCAGAGTACATCAATGATGTCCACATGAATGATATATCTGCAGCCCAAACCGCTTCGTCAAATGAAGGGATGAACACACGCTTATCAAACAGTCCTCCAAAATCATTCTCATCATGCTCTTCACTGGCACCAGTCCACAAAAAAGGTATAGGTCCTTTATTTTCTCCCTCCTGGAACTGAATTGCTCTGTGCTACAGTTTTCATTTTGTTGTTTCTTGTGTCTTGCATAGCAATGCAGTGTTGTTCTTACAGGTCTCTTTAATCCCCTATCCCTAGTGATGGGAGGGAGCATTATATAAGCTGGACATACAATAACACTCCCTTTACTTCTGTAAAAGTCTGATTTTTTTGAAGAATGAATAGTATTTGCCTCTACTTTGGAAGGATGGAGTAATATTTTTAGACAACTTTCTCCATTGCACTAGTTTGGAGAGAGGGAAAATGTGGGAGAAGTTAGTACCCAGACACAGAAATGTAATGGTTTTCAGAGAACATGCACATTGGTTCTTCCGCAGAAGTTCAGTAAGTCAACATTTTAGTTTAACAAGGTTTAAGGAGCCATGTGTACCTATACTGTAGATAAACTTGTAAATGCTAGCTGCTTTCTGATTGTTACTTTGCAGTGTGGAATATTTCTTTTGGCACCTTCTACAGTGCGATGTGTTTATCAGCATCTAGAATGTTTAGTCTTCTGTTGCCTTTAGATACAAGACAATGCAGCTTTAGGGCACAAGAAACAATATATGATAATTTTTTTTTCCCTTATTTGTCTGAGAGTAGACTATTTTAATAAAAGCTTATCTTTTGGAACACACTTTTAAGGCTAGTACTAAACCAAACCAAACAAAAAAAACCTCTTACAACTTTAATATCGTGATCCTCTTTCATTCAGCAGGTTGTCCAGGATAAGTTCTGAAAATGTTCATTTTATCCTTTTAATGCTTTAGCATTGATGTTGGATGACAATGATTTAATGGATTTAAATCATTGACCTCCTTGGTTCATTTGTTCAGCAGTTTTGACACTGCATCTGTCTTACTGTCTCCAGTTTTGGCTTTGCCATTACAGAAGGGCTTTAGACAAACTGAAGTGAGTCTATCAGAAGGGGTACCAGGTGGCTGGAGCCTGTCGTGTACAAGGAGACGCTGAGAGAGAGGGGGGTTTGTTCAGCCCGGAGAAGGAAAAGCTAAAGAGGAACTGTTGCTGTCATCAGCATTACGGATGGTTATAGAGAAGGCAGAGCCAGACTGTTCTTGAAGCCATGCAGCAAATAGAAATGGAAGCAAGTTGCAGAAAGGAAAATTTCTATTAAATAGAAGGAAAAAAAAAATCTTTCTATTGAGTGATTGAATACTGGAACAGAGGCGGGAGCCCAGAGGTACCCCAAGGATCTTGGAGATGGATATTCCGAAGCTCAACTAGAGCTGCTTTGAACAGAGACTGTGCCAGATGATACCCAAAGGTCTCTTCCAATCTAGACTACTGATTTTTGTCGCTTCCTGATGATTTAACTCTTGGTCATCTTTATTGAGGGAATAGGTATGTATGCAGTAGAGCTGACTAGGGGAGTAGTGTGGCAGCCATTTGCAAGCTCACAAGGTGGTGGCTTGTTGTTTTGGTTTTTTGTTTTTGTTTTTTTTTTAATTCCCCAAATGCTAGGGGAATTCCATAGTGTGCTAGGACTTATGTCTGGGGACTAACACGTAATTACAAGACACCTATTCCCTTCTTCTCTTCCATTTCCCTCTTGCTGAAAGCACATGGTGTCTGTTGGGTGCCACAATTCTAAGATGCCCCTGCTTGTCAGTGTCTTCCATTTCTTCCTGCTGTTTGTTAGTGTGCATAAATACAGCACATCCTCCGCATCACTGATAAATGAAGACTTTAGAATCATCTTAAAGCAGCTTAGGGGCAAAATAAGTGATTGAAAGAAACCTTAGAGAATTCTGAGCAAAAGGCTCTATGAGGCAGTTTGTGCCCATAATAAATAAAATGTATCTGATGCGTTGTGGAAGAGAGGATTTTTCAGATTGCTTCTAACAGCTGTTCTTTCTGCTGGAGATATTTTTGAATTCAGACTCTCTATTATTTTAGACATCTTTCTAGGTATGGGATAATACAAAGACAATAATGCTGGACAGAAAAGAGACATGAGTACTTGCTTATGGGCAAACTCTGTATGTACAAAGGAGCCTTGGGAGGTTGTGTTCTATGTGAAAGATTTACTGGGGTAATTCAGTTTCCTTTTTGCTGTAATTATTTCCATGTTTCACTGCCTATCTTGTTACTAGCATTTTGGCAGAGTTTGCCTTTGACTCCTACAAGACTTTTGAGTGGTCTCTTGGGTAATGTACTGACTCCAGAACATGTTTTGTGGCCTTCATTTTAGCCTGCCATTCCAGTAATCTATAGAGCCCAAGAGACTGCTCTTATGTGTTTACCCAATTAATAGTGGATTTGGGTGGGGAACACATGCTATTGGCTTGGAGTTTTACTTTATTTTTTTTTAATAAGCTGCTGTTAGGCTGGACTCTAGGAGTAAATTTAGGCTACTTCAACCCACTGTCATCAGTGTTGTGATACAATAAGCTTGTCTATGAGCTCTTCAGCCCAACATGGTTAAAACTTCCTGGAAAGATGTGATCAAATTCAATGTCAGACAGAATGTGCCTTTTTATGTTTATACCTTGGGGATTCCTGCCAAGATGAATCTTGTAGCAGTAGGCTGTAGATTTCAAGACTGGCAGTTTGAGTTTTACTTAAACAGAGGCACGATTTTCTGATGTTTGTCCTCTATATACTGCTTGAGGAACCTGGTACTAGCAGTAATCTAGTTGTGTAATTTCTAAGAAATATTAAGTAAATAGAAAACAGGGCTTGGCTCATAACTTAATCCTAAATGTGTGTGATCTCTAATTACGTTATGCAAAGTTGAAGGAAATCAAAATCCACTGTATCTTGATTTACTTTCAACATTTCATTTTTGTCATTTTACAGTTTCAACTATATCATCTCCAAAAAGGAAGAAGCGCAAGAAGTACAGGAGTGTCATCTCTGATATATTTGATGGGACTATAATAAGCTCAGTACAGTGCTTGACTTGTGATCGGGTGAGTAAGGAAGGGGAAGTTCTAGCTTTCAGTATGTTTTTTTCCCCAATACAAATACTTACGGTTTTACAGATACAGTCATTCTCTGGTAACTTTATTCTTTTGTTTCAGATTTCCTCAGAAGGTTAGGGTTCATACTTGTTCACTCAAATAGCAATAGCAGCTACTACCAACACTTTGTGTTTAGACTAGTTTGCTTTCATTGAGCTGGATATTTACTCAGAGCTGAAAAATAACATTTTGAGAATTGGTTTACAGCAAGGATGGAGAAAGAGGCTTGCTCTTCAACTTCACTTAGGTATGATTAGTTTCTAGTAATGTTCTGAATATCCTAATGCATACCTGCTACTGGCATAAGTTCTCGGGTACATAATGTTACAAAGAGAAGTAAAAGACAGTAGTCCAACCGTACTGCTGTAACCGTCTTATCAGGTAGATCGAGGCGAAGAAAATTCATGTCTTTCAAAAAATCCAGGAAAAGACACTTAGAGGTTATATGACACTTATAGGTTAACTGTGCTTTCTGAAGTTCTCTACTGCAAGATGTGGTGCAACATAGGAACAGTTGATTTTTTTCAGTACTATTTGCTCACAGAAGTACTTAGAACTGCACACATGATAATTTAAAAAAAGTCAATTATCTAAACGTGTCTTGTGGACCACTTTAGTTTCAAAGCAGTAGTACCAAATATTGGATATCTAAATCTTTGCTTTGGGGACCAGTTTCTCAAAATAAAGTTTAAACCTAACCCTGATGCAGTTGCATGCCCTTACTGCTTCCCTTGCTTTAGATCTAGGAATACTGAGACCTCAGGGTAATCTGGTGAGCAAGTGCAAAAAACAAATACGAATTTTTAAAGTTTGCTTGATGTTTTACTCTGTGACTGTATGATCACTAAATCCAGCATGGGAGAAAGAAAACGCACAGCTGGGTCTCTTTTGCAGTGGGTCCAGTTACATCAGGTCAAGATAATGTCAAAGTAAAATACTGTCAGAACAGTGGGCAGCAGCTTTTGAAACTAGCTTGTGTAACAGGAGCCTGAGGCAAAAATCATAGTGCTTTGTGTGACTAGCAGGAAGACTTAATAATTAATAACAACTTAAAAAAAGTTTCAGTGATAACAATGTGCAAGTTCACTCTAAAATGTTTTTTTTTCCTTCCTCTTTTTTAGAAAATGAAATCTTACATCTCTTTATTTATAATTAATTTGCTACCTAGAGGAATTTTCAACTATACAGTGACTTAGTAGATAGTGGTGAACTTTACAGAATTCAATTTAATTGCTGTTTCTCTTCAAGCTTAACTCTATTTTGTGTTTCATTTGTTTTCTTCTTTAGCTCTCTGTAACTCTGGAGACCTTTCAGGATCTGTCCTTGCCTATTCCAGGTAAGGAAGATCTTGCTAAGCTCCATTCTGCAAGTCATCAGACATCTCTAGTCAAGGCAGGGTCATGTGGAGAAGCATATGCCCCCCAGGGATGGATAGCTTTTTTTATGGAATATTTCAAAAGGTAAATAATATTTACCTTGTTTTATTTATTTATCTATTTTGAAATTCCAGTTTCTGCTCTTCTGGCAGAGCATTTGTTGGTTTTCTTTCTTTTCTGTCAATGATGTTTCAGGTTTGTTGTCTCATGTGTTCCTAGCTGGTTTTGGGGTCCAGTTGTAACCTTACAAGATTGTCTTGCTGCCTTTTTCGCCAGAGATGAGCTCAAGGGTAAGAGTTTAATTACACAAATGTGTTTCTTCTGGTTTTTTTGGGTTTTTTTTTTTTCCTCCTATCACAATAATTATTATTGTGATAAGATTAATATCTTCTTAGCTTCATGCAATTAAGCAAAGGCTACCTGCTAGACTGTAATATAGTCATTCCTTGCTCTTATGGGATCATTCATTTCAAAAAGGTAAGCTTCTCATTCAAATGAATATTTGAGGCAAGAAATGCCCCCAAAAGCTGCTTTAGAAATGTCAGGTAAATCTGAATTTGGTTTAATGAAACGGTATCAACTGAAGGTTCATAAAAATTTCAAAACCCACTATGTTCATGCTTACTCTCATAACCTTTATTTGGACTCAGTAAATTATTTTCCTTTAAATTATATAGCATTGTCTCTTCAGATTGTGCTGTACTGCTTCATAGTTGAAAGCATCAAACCTAAGAACCTTTCTGTTTAGTTGCTATGTCAGCACTCTTATGACTGTTAAATATTGAATGCAACCTAAAGATAAGTTCCCTTGAACCTAATATATATCAAATATATGCTCTTGAAGGATAACTATTTGGATTTAGAGAATAATGGCTGTTTTTCTTCTCCCTGATATTTGCAGGTGATAACATGTACAGCTGTGGAAGGTGCAAAAAGTAAGCTGGCTTCTACCTTTTGTTTGTTTTAACTTGTCTTAATATGAGCGCTTTAATGCTTCTGTTAGTCAAGAGGCATTTATTTCTGTTGGATATGTCGCACTACATTAATCTTTTGATACTACCTTGTGTTCTGGCTGTCAGAAACTTAGCATTACAAAGGTGCAGGAGTCAGGAAGCACTGACTCACCATACCATATTGCAACCAAAATGTGCTTAATTCTTTTTCATGTTTCTTACAATTTGAGACCTTTCTAAATTTTTTTCAGTTGATAAAAGAAAAGCTTTTAGCCATCTATATTACTAGCAGGTTTTCACTGATAGGCAGTAGGTCACTTCAGTATATTAAAAATAAATAAATATACTATGGCTTTAAATACTAAAGCCTTGCTATGTAACTGGTGATCTGCTGTAGGTAATTTCTTAAATAAACTTAGTTGTTACCTTTTTTCTCTTTTGCTGAATAACCAGCTTTCATGTAGCTTAAAGTTCTTTCCTTTATGCTAAGAGAAACTGTTAGCTAGATGTATCTTGATTATCGGTACTTCCTGTTATGAATTTTTTAGCAGTACAGATTGTCTTTTCTTCTGAAGTGTGTTATTGTTTGTATCATTTTGGCTACTCCATGTCTACATTCCAGAAATATTTTGGGTTTACTAATGTAACGTTCAGCTTAGACTTTTGCTGATCTAGCACAATAAAATAAAACCTTCTCAGAACTAACTGTTGGTTGTTTTCTCGGTGTGTTTTTTTTTCTTTATTCTTTGCTTAGGTTAAGAAATGGAGTGAAATTCTGCAAAGTGCAAAAATTTCCCGAGGTACTGTTACTACATGCACTTTAAAGCACTTTTTCTGCATGATTAGGAATGTGGTAAGACTAATGAGTTGCATGGAGTAAATGGTGTTTATTATGTGTTACATTATGAAAGTATATCTTCATATTGGCATTTGTTTTAAGAATGTGAGCAGTGTTTGATTATTCAACCTGTAAGAAAGTGAACCTTGTACATGAGAAGTAAAGTTAGAAGAATCGGTTGTTTCTATGTTGTTACTGTCAGCCTGCAGAACTTACTTATAGTGTAGATCATAGAATTAAATACCACAGCCAGACTGTAAACCTTTTCTATAAGTAATGCTAGTAACTTTAGATTTTAGAAGTAATCCAGTCTTACACTTCAAAACTTGAGTTGATGACTGCATAATCCGGAAGGATTAATGTCCCTTGTGACAAGATTGTGCAATAGGTGCATTGAGGAAGAGAAGAGGTATGTTGTTCATTGCTACGTCAGTGTTAGTAACTGTTCAGGACTGCGTTTTTTTATACTGTCAGTAAGAGAAGACTTCGGTAATTACAAATTCATTTCTAACTCCTTGAATGTCAATTGATTAAAAAAAATAATTGTGGAACACAGATCTTGTGATAGTTGCCTTGGGCAATAGAGAAAAGTGACCCCTTTAGGATGATAAAAGGAAAAGAGGGCATGCACAATGGAGTTACTAAATGTCAAATAGTAGCATGTATAATTCTTGAGTGAATTTGTCGTTCCTTCTTACAGATATTGTGCATTCATCTCAAAAGGTTTAGACATGAACTTATGTTTTCCACAAAAATTGGGACCCATGTATCCTTTCCCTTGGAAGGCCTTGATCTTCAGCCTTTCCTTGCTAAGGACAGTCCAGCTCAAATAGTGACTTACGATCTCCTGTCTGTCATCTGCCATCATGGAACTGCCAGCAGTAAGTGAGGTTGATTGTTTTGTCTTTGCAGTTGATATTCGCATCAGCACTTCTGTTTCAGGGTGATATCCATATACTGAAGGGGAAATAGATGAGCATTGGTAATTATAATGTGAAAGATAAATGCTGTGATTTTTACCTTGAACCATAAAATGGCTTGCTCTTAAAGAGCTCAAAGACACATCTTTGAAATTGTTTGGCATACCTAAATAAAATTGTAGGTGGAAAAAAAGATCCTGGAATATTAAGTAAAAAAACCTATACACACTATTGAAAGTGAATAGTATAAATGTACAAATAGTTAACATGCCAGCAGATGTCCAGTTGATCAGCCGTTCTACACAGCTGTTGTTTGTCTAGAGTTTTGATGCTTTGTATGCCTTACTTTTCTGGACGAGTTCAGAAAGCACCACAAAGATTCCAGTAATTTTTTTTAAAAATATGTTCACTTGGATGATAGCTGCCAATTAACACCAAAACAGGCAGTAACTGCTATTTACAGGTAGTGACATGGAGCTGAATAAACGCCTTATTGCTATATGTCAAGCTCATTCCTGCCCAAGTGCTTTCAGTATTTACAAGGTTTGGAAAATAGGAGAAAGAAAAGCTTGAAGCCAGACACTTTACAGATTTTTACAGAAGTTACCCGCCCCCTCTTACTCCCCAAACTTGAGGTATCCATTGTTTAGATGAAGTTGTTTCCATTTTTTTTTTTCTGGATGGTTTTTCATCTTCCATTTAGTGCTTGCTGAATGATATATTTCACAATCAGTTTAATAGATACTTGATTATTTGATTATTTTCAGCTGAATATGCATTTAAAAATAGTAATAATATAAAATTAAAATGAAAGTGTCCAACTTTCCACTAGTTGACAGAAATTAACAAAAAAAAATCTGATCCTGAGAGAAGTTAATATGCAGGTTCTGTCTGCTAATGATTTAATTTTTCTCCCATTTAAGACTTGCTTCTTTTGGACTTACTATACAATGCATGAAAAGGAATTAAAATGGACAGCTCTGGACACTTTTTAATAACTTTTGCTTCTGTCACTTTAGGTGGACATTATATAGCTTATTGTCGCAACAATTTAAATAATTTGTGGTACGAATTTGATGACCAGAGTGTCACAGAAGTATCAGAATCCACAGTGCAAAATGCAGAAGCCTATGTTCTCTTCTACAGGTAAGAAATTAAAAGTATGATCATACTCATATTAGTCAAGTATTTAAATAACTTTTTAAGCAGTTGGGCAGCTTTCAGAAATTAGCTCCTCCAAAAGAATTATAATGGAAGAATTTGACCAACCAGAAAAGCCTGTGCTGGAGAGAGACTTAATCCTTCAGTTATGTCCTTAATACTTGCTCTGTCACTGCTAAAACATGTATAAAACTTAAAATGAAAATTAAATCTGCATAAATATAGCAAGATGACTAGAAAGAGAATTTTAAGCAACCATTAGGACTGGCTACCAATTACCTTGTTTTCAATTAGAGGAAAGGAATTCTGCACATGCGGAGGTTTTACACACAGACTCCAACTGGTAGAGCTCTAAAGGGAATTGTGGAAAGTCTTTAGCAGATGGGATGTGGAACAACAGAGGTTTTACTGTGTTGTAATTTAATTTCAGGGAATTTATAGACCAGTCTTTTCCTGAAAGTTGAATTGAAAGGCAAGAAGTGATGTTATCACCTTCAGTCTAAGCAATTTTTTGTACTTGAAATAATAGAAGCAACTTAACTCAATTTTCAAATTCTAAATTACTGATCCTAAGATAAATTTCCACTAAAAGTTAACCGCAATATAGCTTGTGTCAGAGTTGCACAAGAAATGAGGTGTGTTCTGAGAATGTTTTAACTTTGATTAGGAGCACTTCTACCTGCCACTGTGTGAGCTAAGCCTGTAAGTCTGACTCAGTAGGTCTTTTAAAATGAATGTGGAAGTCATGCCCTCTTTCCAAGAAAGAACACTGTACCTGACTGTGGGCAAACATTAAAATAAATAAAAGAATCGCATTCATAAAATTTGCTTTTAAAAAAGAATATAACCGCAAAACACTACCACACACAAAATAGATGTTCTTTCAGTGCAGTTTAGAAAGCTTAATGGAGATACATATGCATTTTTAAATTATAGCTGTAAAGCAAACTTACCTAATTGAATTTCATTTTCTGACTTTTAAGGTTTTGTTTAAATTCAGATCAAAATTATTTAACAAGTATTTTAATTGAGTTCATAGCATTTGGGGTTTTTTCTTACTGTTTTAATCTTGGTTTGCCATACTATAAATAGCCTTGTTGCTATAACCATTAGGTCTACCTGAAACTTTTCTATCAGCTATTTGAGTCAACTTTGACTCCATAAATTGACTGAGGTGGCCCAGCTTTTGTGTGATGCTGAGTGAAGTTTCAGGTCAGGGTTTTGGAGAATGGAATGAATGGTTCAAACCTGCTTTTGGACAAGAGAGATTCTTCTATTCAATCTAAAAACGTAAGAGCAGAGATAATTCCAGTTGGACAGCAGCAACAGCCTCAATGAGAAAAGTAGGGGAATACAGGAAAAGTGGGGGAATTACTTGATCTAGTTACTGTTCAGCCTTACTTCTGAAGGTAAGTAAGGAACATCTGCCCAAGGAGTACAGCTTGCAAAGCTTTAGCTCAAAAGATGCATAGAGGAAACGGGCAGATGGGCCCAGCCTTGCTTCCTTCTCCTGTGGTAGTCATCACCTCTGCAGTATAGTCTGCTGTCTCTGTTGCCGTCCGACTTACTTGCTTTCCTGGGCTGCTAGGTTGAATGGGAAGTGTCGGGGTCTTTGAGTTGTTCAACTAAGCAGGCAAAAGTTTTCCTGTAAGCATGGTAACACCTGTGCCGTGGCTTGTCAGAACTAAGGACAAGCGTAGGCTTAACTAAGCAAGCCCTTGCTGCCCTTCCCACTCTGTACTAATTGTACTGACTCCTGTGACATGTGATTCTGTAATGTGACAGTCTAGGTTCCTGCCACACATTTAGATGGTGGCTCTGGCTGTGCATAAAAGATGCAAGTTTTTTCACATGCTAAGTCAACTACTTCACACTAGTAGAAGTTGGAATTATAGACACAGCCCAGGTAATTTACTTGAAAGCACAGTTTTCTTTTCACAAAGTAAATTATCTGCACTGTACACAAGGATAGATTTTTTTTTTAATGATTTCTCTTTTGGTAATAGAAAGAGCAGTGAAGAAGCACAGAGAGAGAGACGGAGAATATCAGGTCTACTGAATATGATGGAACCAAGTCTTCTGCAGTTCTATGTTTCCAGACAGTGGTTAAATAAATTCAAGACTTTTGCAGAGCCAGGACCAATTTCAAATAATGACTTTCTCTGTATGCATGGAGGTGAGACTGTAACTGAGAATCATTTAAAAAGAATTTGTCTGTCAACTTGTAGCTATACAGGGATGTACACTTGTTTTCATTAAAGGAATTTGAATATAGTAAGTTCATATTATAGCTTCTGTCACTTCTTAGGTAAGTTAGAACTATAACTTTTAAGTAAATTCTTTCTCTCATTTTAGCAGCTGACTAGCTGGAAATTATACTGTGTGGAGTTCTATTTTTATTTGCACATTTAATTTTGTTTACAAGCTTTCTTAATTCTTAAAGAGGAACAGTTTGGCTTAGCTGCTTGCTTACTAAACATGCATATTCCAATTTTTAAAAATCCTGTCACCTTATCATCATCCTTCATACTTGGTCTGCCAATCTAAATATTTTTCTCAACTACGTGCTAGAAGCAACAAGAGGGTTTGAAAGCTGCAGAACAAGAAAGTTTGCAGAGTATCCAGTGCGTAGCAGTGTGAAAATAGAGTAGTAATTCTGTATATTTTGTATAGAAGCATAAAAATTTTACTTTGTTCTGAATGTTAATAAAAATGGGAAAAGTACGTTAAGCAAAACATACATACTTGGGGAAATATCCATATTTGAGTGCTAGCATTCCAAGAAATCAATACTATGTGGTGTTCTTATACCTATTTTCTAATAAAAAATAGAGTTGCATTAGATTAGCAGTTAGAGGTGTTGCCCTCATTGCTGAACCAAACTTGTAATGTAGGAATATTGTGCTCCTGTAGCAATCTGCAAGTGTGTACGTGTGAGCCCTTCTGGCTGTGGCTTTCCTTCTGTGGGGTTACAGCAGATGACTCTTGCTGTACCAGTGCCCAAACTACTAGATTTTCCCTATTCAAAAGAATTCCTGCATAGCACATTGCTGCTTACCACATGCTTCAACTCAATGCTTCTAATTCTGCAAGCGCCTCTATTCTTGCCTCCCTCAAAATTCCACTGCTTTCAAGCATTCATGTTGTTTGAAGTAATTCAAAAAGTCTACAGCAAATAAGTGAATTTTGAATAGACAGTTTGCTAATGTGTTTACATGCCTAAAAAAATATTTAATCACTCTTCAACATTTTAATTGTATACCTTAAGAAGCATTTTGCAGTTAGTATCTAAAAAGGATTGTAGCCCTTTAATTTTAATCTTTCATGTAGTATGCTTTTGCTTTTTATAAACTTTTCAGCCTTATCAAAGACAAACATTAGAGTGGTCTCTTTAAATACAGTAATAGATTATACTATGGTAAAACCTGTTTCACATGATTTCTCTGAATTAATTGAAAGGTTGTATTTCTATTTATTTTTTTATTTAGAGACCTCTAAGATAGTCTCTCCTCCCCACCCCAAAATCCACAAGTCTCTGTTGTTGTTGCTTCTGTAGGTGTTCCTCCACACAAAGCTAACTTCATAGAGGACCTAGTTGTAATGCTACCTCAAAATATATGGGATAATCTGTATAGCAGGTAAGTTTTCTACTGTAACTGGAAAAAAATCCAGAAATGCAGTTTTAGAGCAAACATGTGCCAAGCAGCAGCAGCAGACTTTAGAATTAGTGGCTCAGTATACTATAGGCACAAAGCTAAGTGAAGGGATTGCGAACAGCCGATTAATATAATTTGCTTGTGCAAAGTAATGCTAAAAGCCGACGTGAAGTAGTGTGTTACTGGGATAATACTCGAGTACTAAACCAATAAACATATATGGTATGTACAAAATGACACAAAGTAGGTCAGCAAAAGAACGCTTTGCAAGAGGTATTTTGAAAGAGCTCTCTGTATCAGCTTCCAGTTCTCTTGTTGGCTGGAGACAGCTTTTCTTTTATGTTGGCTTTGACTCCGTAGCCTCAGCTGCCAGTACTGCTTCAAAATAACTTATATCTAAGCGTTCCATATACCTACTCTGCACTTTTTAATGTAGGTCAGGTTTAAGTGCTTGCTTGTAAAGGAGGGATTCTTAGAAGAAGTGTCCCCTTTTAAAATAACAAAATGCTGCAGTAGAGCTTTGCTGATGACCTTAAGGACTCTGTATTGTACTTACATTAAATATTTTTAGCTGTTAATTTCCTGCCACCTAAGCACTATAGCTGAAGGTTTGGAGTTTTTTTCCTTTAAAGTTTCAATGGACACAAGTGAAGAATAGAAACAATACTATTTCCAGCTTATTTCCACTTTCCTAGATGTACTGAATTTTTCTTCGAACAGACAAAGGCATTATCCATTTTCTGAATGCAGAATGTGTTAAATGTGAAGAAAATGTTTTTAAACTTCTCACTAATCTCCCTTCTCTATAAACTTTTCTAACGAGATGCTTAATGTAAGATTTTTGGAATAAAATCTGAGGTTTTAGAAGAGAAACAAAATTGGAAGAGAACACAGCTGTGAAAAAAAAAAAAATATCAGCTAGACAGTAGAACCTGGAATATCCTTATTTCAATGCATATTTTAACCTGACCCTTCTGTTGTAGTAAATGCATCTCCTAAGGCTGCTAGTCATTCAAGTTCTTTATCAGGCTTGTAGTTTCCAGGCTAGCAAATGCTTTCCATACTCATAATGATATATATATATCCCGAGCTTCTCAGTAGTAGTGCTTCTGAAGACTTCCAAGTATACAGTTTCACACAAGGAAAATATGGAGAGGAGGGTCGTGGAGAATAACATTTTAAGAACAAAACAATAAACAAGTTTAGAAGCTGGTGTCAGGGAGGTAGCAAACTGCTAAAGAGCCTGCAGTGGAGTGGAGGAATGTGGTTAAGATAGAACTGGCTGGAACATTTCCATACGCTGTTTCTTAGAGGCCTTTAATGAAACCACACATGGTGTGTATATAACAATACTTGCTCGCTGACATGTTTTTCCTCTAGTAATGCCTTTTGAAGCCTGTGATACAGCAGAGTTTGAGGTGGTTTGCATTGGTTTTAGGCAGTCAGAACTTGGAAGATAGTTATGTCTTAGGATGAAGTACCAAATATTACTAGGAAAATAAATGATGGCATTTGTGGATCAGTGTGACTGGCATGTATCAGACTTCTGCTACATATTATAAGAAGCTGATGGTTGCGGTGTCTACAGGTGCATGATCTTTTAACGTCGTATTTTCTACAAGGTTAATGGTTTTTTACTTTCACTGCAGGTATGGAGGAGGACCAGCTGTTAACCATCTGTATGTTTGTCACACCTGCCAAATAGAGTCTGAAAGAATTGAAAAAAGAAGGAAAAATGAATTGGAAATGTTTATTCGGGTAAAAAAGTAAACACTTAACTCATTCTGCTTTTTGACTTCACCTGATAGTCATGGCTTGACCCAAGGTCTTACTAGAAGTGCATAGGTGATTCCTGTAACAATTGGACTTTATTAAATATTTGTATACCTATATAGAATCCTTTCTTTCCTGTTGGCAACAGTAATGTTCTTGAGATATCCCAGATAACTCTTTATATGGAAGTGTACTTAAAGAAAATATTTAATGTGTTTCTGAAATTGCTTTTTTATAGTATGGAAACAGTGCAGCCACATGAGCAGTTGTTCTTTATACACCATTCTGTTCTGTGCAATTTGATAAGGTTTAAGTGCAATAACACTGCCAGCAAAAACTTAATCATAATCTTTAGCTCTAGTTCTAATTTTAAAAATATCAGTAGACATAAACAAACATAAATAATTCAGTGTGAATTAAATAGCTTAGTATTGTAATGGATCTGTAAAATTACTATCAAGCAGCTACTATATTTTCTATGAAATTTCCATGAGATTTAGAGATTATGTGCATGAGTCTGGTAGAATAACTAGTAGTAACGATTTTGTAATTCTTAAACCAAAAATGTGTTTTGAAGTTTTCAGTGAAAATAAATGTAGAGGTATTGGAGTCCCATTTCTGCTATCTTAACTCATGAGAGGGAGAAAAATAGAATTGCAGCTGTTTCAGTTCTATCTGTGCTTTAATCACGCTTCAGAGATTATGTCAGCTTTTCCGTATTTTAACTGCTATTTGAACTTTTTAGTAATTGATTTTTCTTTAGTCTAGGTTACCACTGGATAGTAATTATTATTAACAACATTGAGTCAACCTCCTTTGCCTTAACGATCAGTATTTTTCCACTATAAACAATTATATGTGCACTGTTGTGCAAGTATTGTTACTGGTTAGCGGGCAGAAAATTCTGTTATCCTCTGTAAAGATTGCTTTAGGGAACGATTGCAAAACTTATTCCATCAGAGACCTTAACAAGTTGTGTTGATGCTTTAGGCTCATGGCTTCAAGGGGGAAATACAGCTATATTATTACAAAGCTAAAAGATAATAGTTTTAAAGTTTTAAGTGACTTTTTGCATGTTTCTTAATATCATTGTGAAATGATCAGTAGTCTCCAAATAAGAGTGAGTTGTTAAACTTCCTAAAATCTTAATTGTGAAAAAAACGTATTTTTTTACAATGATAGAAACAAATGTAGTTAAATGTAACCGAGACTCTTTACTTAGCCATTTTTTGTAATTTATACAGTCACTTACATTGCCTTGCAATAGAAATGCAGAAAACCAGGATGTGATTTTTTTTTTTTTTTTTTTTTAAATTTTAAAATAGAATCATAGAATCACTTTGGTTGGAAAAGACCTTTGAGATCATTGAGTCCAACCTTTAACCTAACCCTGACATCCCACCACTAAACCATGTCCCTAGTAGGAACAAGAAGTATTTTGTGGTTTTTAAACTGAAGTGAAGAAAAGTCATTGGAAGTCCCGGTGCATTAGTTCACCATGCCTTGCTTGGAATCATACTGGCATCTGTTCAAAGTTTTAGGGGAAAAACAAACATAGATGAAGACACAGTTCATCACACAAAGAACCTTCCATAAAATTATTACTGTTCTGATGGATGGTCAGTAGTTCTTTAAAATGTTCTGTAGCAGTGTAATATTATGCTGCTAATAATTATGGTGGTTAAAAATGAAGTCATTTAAAAGAAAAAAGCAGAAAACCACTGTTTTTCCTTTCAGCTTAATAGAGCATTCCAAGAAGAAGAATCTCCATCAACGTTTTACTGCATCAGTATGCAGTGGTTCAGAGAATGGGAAGGATTTGTAAAGGGTAAAGACAGTGGTAAGTTGTGCTCCATTTCAAAATATGGGTAATCCGCTTTTCTTTTTTGTTGTCGTGTAGTGGTACTTTTTAAGTAAATTGTCTCTGCTTTGGTAGAAGGCTGTAGGAAGAACACGTAGAGAAGGTAACAAAAGCTCTTAAAACGAAGATCTAAACCACAGGTTTTATAGGTTACAAATAGATCCAGGAGCCAAATTACAGAATATAGTCAAATAATTCACAAGCTCAGATAATGAGATAGTTGTGTAAAGAATGCTGCTTGTTTGCAGGGGGTTTGCTGCTAGCAGCAACATTAAAATTGGATCTAAGTATAAGGGAGAATGGATCTTGCTGTGCAAACTGATAGATAATGCTATAGCTTTTGGAGGAAAGGTGCCCTCACTGCCACAGCCTAAACTCATAGATAACTGAGTAACAACTATAATAATATCACTGTAGCCTACTTTAGGTGACTCTAAAGTTTTGAAATGGAAACACTGCTAAAATGTTCTACAATCTTGTCTGAGTCTGCTCTAAGACAACTTTACTAGGGGTAAGAATCAGGATTAATTTGTGTTTTACATTGCTTGAAGACCTACTGTAATCATGAATGCTTTAAAAAACATGGTCTTATTAAAATTCTGATTAGCTTTTAACAACTTAGAACATACTGCTAAGCAGTACAAGAACAAACGTTAAGCAAACGAGCTATTTCTCCTTCCATTTGAAAATAGCACCTCCAACCTGCCATTTCTTTGCAGCTTTCCCAATTTTAACTATCTTTCTGTTGCACTAGATCCTCCTGGTCCTATTGATAACGCTAAGATTGCAGTAACAAAATGTGGAAATGCTGTGCTAAAACAAGGTAGGTGTCCAATACTGCTGCAGCTTTGGGCTCCTTATCATGTATTTGCTGAAGTTTGGAATATTATTAATTTTTTTTTTAACTGTTACTATAAAATGGCAGTTGCTAGTGATTCTATGTTGTGCCCATTTTGGGGGGAGCAGCTTATTCTTTAAAATAGAGAGTTAGTATCTGTAATAGACTAATCCGAGTACAGATAAGCGTGTAGAAGGAGGTGCAGAGACACTTTAAAACGGTGAAAGTGTGCTTTGGCTTTTTATCACTTGGTTTGACTTGGGTTTTCTTAATTGGGAGATGCTTGGCTTTTAGACTGTGTCATATATCTGCATGTAGTTATTTGAATCTTGAAACCTGATTTGAATTGAGAGTGACTTCTAACACAGGGAAATAAACCACAGTAAGTAAATGCTGTTGCTCATTTTTCTGCAAGTTATTTGCCACTGTATATTGCAAAAACTTCTCTAGCATGCAAAGATACAGATTTCTTTCTTATTCTTCAGTCAGACGCTTAACACCACTTATTTGAAACTTATTTGAAGCTTTACAGAGAAAAATACTCTAATACAGGCTGTTTTATGAAGACTTCAGACTTCTTATGAATATTTGAATTCATTGTAGCTCAGCTTAAAAAAAAATGCAGCATTAGGCTTAACCGTTATTTAACTGGATTTTTTCCCAATTTAACGTAATGCTACAGCATACAGGGAACCTACGAATGGCAGTTCACTGGAGGCCACTGAATAAACCTCACCAGTTGTAAAACATCAAGTGTGTATTGGAAAAAGAATGAGTTCTTGCACTCATGAGTTTTGCAGTACATTTTAATGATGTAAGTGCCAATGGAGAATTCAAATACAAGGTGTAAAGCATCTGACTGACGTGTAGCAAAAAAAAAATAATTTAGAATCAATAATTGATAGCGAATTAGCCAGTTGTTGACTTAACTTCAGCTACATTGATTCAGATTAGAACATGGATAGAAGTAGAAGAAGAACAAGCTGTGGAAAATTTGTCTCAAGTCATGAGGGAGGAGGTGGGAGCACCACTAAATAGTGTACAGTATTACATATTGCTGTGATTCTGTGGTCCTGATCCCAGTTCACTGTGCCTGTTCAGTTAAACCTGACCGTTAGAAGAGCTGGAATCTGGATAAGGGAGTGAAGATCTACTCCTGTGCCTACAGAGATGGAGTTGTTTTTTTCAGTACCTGAACCTAAATGAGTAAAACTGAGGCATAACATCATTAGTACTGGCGTAGGATCTGCATCATGACTTCCAGATGAAGCTTTGCATGGTTGAGTTAGTGTAGGTAAACAAATGTGCAGCTCTTTGTACCCTTCCTCTGTGGAAATTTTTTACATGTGAAGTACAGTAGTAGGCACGCTTGAGCAGGTAGTGAGGACAGAAAAGTATAGGAGGTAGAGGGAGAAGTCCCCTTGTTATGGCGTACTTTTTTTTTTTTTTTTTAAAAAAGTAGGAGGGTGCTGAAATTAAGCTTAACAAGACAGATTAATTGTATCTAATAAGGATATTGGGGAAAACTTGCTGTAGGGCAGGTTTTTAATGAGCTCTTAAAGAAGAGGGGGTTTATTCAGACAGAATAGAAATTTGTCCTCTCTGCCAAGGTTAGTGTGAAGAAATCACTTCAACTGTGTCAGACAGGATCCTTGTGTTAAAACCTAGAGGGGTGATGTGCTGGTGCTCCCTTGCACTTCGCCACTATAAAAGCTTACAGAAAATCAGAAACGATTGTTGGATGCTCCTGAGGCAGGAGAGGGACCTCTAGCCAGAGGATTGGAATCATAAGCAAAGACTTTAATCAGTGAATGAAATGAAATCAGGCTGACCCATCAGTGATAATACAAGGAGCATTAGTGGGGCTGGTAATGTTCCAATAGTGGTTTCTCTCTGGGGTTCTGAGAATTTCACTGTGGTTCTCACACTTTTATTATTTGCTATCAGTATTAATTTCTTTGATGAACCCAGAATCTTGAGTCCTTGAACTTTACTGTGTAATTGATGGGACTGCATATCCTTACATTAATACGCATCATCGTTTCCTGTGCACCCAGAGCTACTGGTTGTCAGCTTGATTGCTAAGTATTGGATAAGATGTTTATCATAGAACCTTCATGTTGTTTTATGCTTGAGGTGTGTTAAGTACTGGATAGTTCAGAGCAGGTAGCTGTAAGAATCATGAAGTATAAAGTTAACACAAAATACATCATTGGGTTTGGTAGCTGGTGCAAGACAAAGCACAAATTCAGATTAGGGTTTTAAATTTGAATCTGTAATTTTTTTCTTTCTGTATCTGTTACAGACTCAAATAATGAAAGAATTATTCTAAATAGTAATTAAAATTTTAAAAATGTTTTCAGGTGCAGATTCTGGACAAATATCTGAAGAAACGTGGAACTTTCTTCAGTCAATCTATGGTGGAGGTCCAGAGATTATACTCAGACCACCTGTTCCTCCAGTAGAACCTGATACCTTGCAAACAGAGGAGAAGATTGAATTAGAAACTCACGGTCTGTAGCTATTGAGAAAAAGACAAACTTGTAAGGAATCCAGCTTCCTTACAAAATGCCCAAAATACATTCCTAAAGTTTTATTCTCTTATGTCTGTTGGAGGCACAGCTCACTGGGCATTACATTAACTACAGAATAGTAAGTTGAAATATGTATTGCAATTTGTTTAAATAGAGGCTGTTTCTCTGTTTTGGAAGGCATGTGGTTTGTACGTTTTGGAGTGTTTGGTCAATGGAAAAAAATGTAATTTCTCAACTTTTTGGTATAAGTCAAAATCCTGTTATATCCTTAGACTTGAAAAATGGGGACAAATTTAGAGGTATTCAATAACCCTTCTGATTCCTGATTGGGCTTCTGATATCTATAAACTTTTGCCTGTCTTAATTGTACAGTCTTGGCAAGCATAGGTATATGGGGAGTATATTTTAAGTGGGTTGCAATCAATGACAAAGAAAAAGGATTTTAATTTCCGAAATGCTCAGGAAAAAAAGTCTCACTTATTTTGCACTGTAAGTATATGAAATGGGTAGTATATAACATCCAAATACTTGCTGTATTTGAATGGATCAAACATTAGAGTAGATTGAATATTGTTTTAGTCAGCAAATGTCATAACTTATTACCTACTAAATTTTACATCTTATTATAGTCTTCTGTAACTCTATAAACCTGGCTAGTGTCTTTAATAGTATATGTGACAAAAAGATTTAGTCTTCTCTAGGGTAATGTTTGAGAGCATGAAGTGTGAAATGTAAAATGATTATGGACATGAGCGATATAAATTTCAGAAATTAAATTGTCTGGTCTCTTGAATTACATTCATAAACAGTTCCGTTTGAAGGATTTCATTGTATTGTTAAAAATTTCCATTGGCATGATGACCTACAACGTCAGAAGCTGGATAAAATGTATATATTGCAAAACTTTACTGAATGATTCATATTGGAATGCAGAGTGGCGTTTGCTCTTGGTTTTGCCTGATACTGTTACCAAATAAGCAGCATTATTCAAGGCTGGATCAATAAAAAAAAAAAAAAAAAATTAAACTGTGGAAGGGGGGGGAAGCTTTCTTAAACACTTTCAATTTGTTACATCAATACAAAACCTTTTGAAGTAGTGCTGTGGTACTGCTCTCACACCCATATAATGATATTTCTTGACCACTGTGTTTAGGCAATGATGTTGACAGTTCTAGTTCCAAAGTAAGAAAATGCTGACATAGCATTCTTATGGATAGTTTTAGATCTAGTATAAAATCAGATTGGTTTTGAACATTGTAAAGCACTTAAAACCATTCCAATTAAAAAGCCATTTACAAAAGTCTTATAGAAAGTGTAGTCTAACCTTAAGTACTTGCTAATGTGCTGTGCAGAGGGGGTCAGTTGTGTCTGAATGTAAATCCCTGTATTTTTCTCAGCCTACCTGAGAAGAACTAGAGCTAAAAACAGAGCAGTGCAAGTAAAAGGAGTAAACGGTGTGGAGCCAATGATTATATGGCTGGTACAGAAGGAAAATATTTTTCAATTTTAAACTGTATCGCAGGTAACTCTCAGCCAGCCTAAGTTTCTGAACTTGTACATAAGCATTCTTTAAATTCCAGAGGAGGTCATGGGACATCAGCAGCTGAGAAGCCTTGCGTGTACATAGGTGTAAATGTAAAGAAACAGTGAGCAGAGCCTTTTAATGTCCAACAATGCATTTGGGCAATTTTATATTACTAGATAAGGCAACTTGAAGTTAAAACCACGTTACCTCTGTGTGTACAAGGTAAACAAACACATCAGTTACTACTACAGACTTGTCTTACTGATAAAGTTAACTTCCTTATGAACAGTCAGTAGTAACTTGCTGACCTTGCCTGTGGAAGGCTGTTCGAACTTCCCTCCTCCTTTTTTTGCCCTTTTTTCATATTAGGGTGACTAAATTAAACCTGGCTTTATACTGTCTTATTTTCACTTTTTTTGGGGGGGTGGGGTGTGGTGTGTTCATTGTCTTTGCTAAGATTTTATCTCATATAAGCTGTTCTTAAGGCTCTCTAAGATACTAAAGCACAATCAATAGGTCTGCATACTTTAGGAAGAAATTTTCCTACATGATGTTCTTGATTGGAAACTTGAGAAATATTTTCTTGGTTAAATCACTGTATGGTGATCACGCTTACCAATTTATTCAATGTTTTCATTAATAATCTGGATGGTGGAACAGACTGCCCCTGTAAAACTTGCAAGAAAAAACTGGATTGAGCGTTAAGGACATCACCTGCCTGGGGTAATGAAGCAGTTCTGTGCTAAGCATGCTGGGTATTGTAGCAGATCAGACTAAGAGTTAAAATCCTGTGATACCAAAACAAAACCTGTTCTGGGTAATAGTAACAAAAGCATCAGATGTGAGGCACAGGAGGTAATTATTCTGCTCTACTTGGTGCTGTGCTAGTTGCGAGATCTCATCTGTACTACTCACAATTTGGGATGCTATATGATGATAAATACAATTTGGGAAGAGGTTATTTCAGAGAAGAGCAACAAGACTCTGCATTGAAAATTAAGTTGTTGTCTCACATAAAAGAATGCTGAAGATGAAAGACTTCCAATGTGTAAATAATTGCTGGATAATAGTGAACAATTTTTCCTAGATGAATAGGATTATTTGCCTCAGCTTTAGCAATGGTGACTTGTGCTGGGTTTCGGTAGCCTATTAGAAATCTAGAAATCTTCTAGCAGTTTTGTCAGTCTTTGCCACGGGGTGTCTGGGCATCCATAGTCAAACATAATCTTAAACTGTGATGCACGTAGATTAGTAACAAGATGCTTTAAACTAGCAGAGTTTGTGAAATGCCTCTGTCACCACGCTAAAAAAGCATCTTCATGCTACAACTGTTTGTCATGATTTAAAAAAAAAAAGAAAAAAAAAAAAGAAATCCTGAGTTTGCAGACATGAAATAGCTGTGTTTGTGTTCAAGACCGTTCCAAAGGGACGACTGTCTTGCTTGTAGCCCTTTGAGAGCTCTACAAAGGATTTTATGCCACAGAAATTGAAGCAGCCTTTTGAAGTAAGACAGCGTGGGAGAACGCTGTATGGATGGTATGGGTATGCTGGAGGGAAAGCAACACTTCAGAGTATAGGTAAAGGAGAAGCCTTTTTACTGTGAAGAGCTGTCTGATTGGCATCAAAGAAAGAATGCATCTCAGAAAGGGGCTGTGGAAATTATTTTTTTCCATAAGCCTTTCACCAGACTATTTGGATTCTTTGTTCATTTGTTTCCAGTTGAGGAAACACAGCAATCTGTTTGGGTGCCAGGGAAGCTGTCATTTCAAGAAGGGGAAAAATCCAGCGGAGTCCTTGTTTTAGGCCTGGGAATCTAAATTTGAACTGTTAAAAGCCTGCTGTTCGGTCTGGTAACATTAATCCTCTCTTCTGGAGAAAACTGCATGGGGGTGTGGGGGAACCTACCAGCTCAAAGCTTGATTTCTCTAAATTTTTGAACTTTTTTTGCAAGCAGTATAGCTAATTGTTCATCTGAACCCCCAACATCAATGAGAGTGTTTCAGATACTGTGTGATGCAGCTGAGCAGTGTAATTGGAGGGAAAAAGATTAGCGGAAGAGCTGCTGAATAGTAAAATAAGGCATTTTTATAATACGCTTCAGAGGTGAGAGCTAAGTAGTCTGTCTGCTTAATAAAGCAAATAAAAATGACCTGCTTTTTAGCTGTAAAATTATCCCATGTTATGCTTTTACCGACTTACAGGCCAGTCTCTTCTTTTCCTGTGCCTGGAACATTAGGAAATGAAGGAAATTCTGAAGATAATTCTGTGATGCAAATTCATTATTTAACTTGAGTAGTCCAGAAAGCTGTTTCTGTAAGTATGATCTAAATTAGTCCTGTGTCTAGGGATAGATATATATAGAAAGACAGATATATAAATGCACATAATCTATTTCTCCAGTCTCTTAATTGAACTGCGGCTGGGGACACTACAGTAATTATTTTTGGTTCTATGTTGGAATAATGATCTTGAGTAGATGTATCCGATAAAGGTTGCTTTTTGTTTTCAAATAGATAAATGACACTCAACTGACTGCTGTAATGGGTATCAGCAATGGCCTGAAAGTTTGCTAGGTAAGTTAGAGACTTCATACACTGATCAAAAGCTGTATCAAGATAAGATGAAAAAGGGCAAAAGCTATTTTTATGAATTCATGTCACACAAACTCAGAACCATTTTGATAACGCTGCATCTTTTATTTGAATACTACTTTCATTGTCAGCTGTTGAGCTGCCTGAATGCAGCAAAAACGTGTTTTAAGGCATCCTCTAATATCTATTTGACAAAAACTGCTGTAGCTCTTGGTGGTGAGACAGTACAAACCTGCCGAATTTGAATTTGAGGGAGAACAGCCACACCTGTTGTTGCTACATGTCCGTGACAATGGTAAAGAGATCTTGCATTTGAATTTTACTGCTATGTCTAGATACTGTACTATGACTTGCAAACCTACTATATGCAGCTGGGTCAATGGAAGCTAATTTATTTAGGGTTTTTTATTTAATTAGTCTATTTCTTCTCCCTGACGATATCGTATTTGATGTCAAAGTTCTAGTCTGTTTAGCTTTGCTTGGGAGTCACATAGTCACATGGGAACACTTACCATTCTATCAACAGAGCTATGCCAATAGGAATTAAATTTTGACCAAGCTATGGAAGTAGAGATGTCAGAAGGTTGGAGCTAATGAGTAGCAGTGCATTAGTCCCCGCTCTGGAGGTGAGAAGATAATGTAGTCTCAGAAATCTGACTTTCTAGCAGAGTGCAACAATCTGTGACATCCGAAAGAATTTCTATTTAGAGCCTTCTGTAAATCTGTATGGTCCCATATTTTGGTAAGAGAGCCACAGAGGAGGGTAATTTCATATTGTTGAGTTAGTGGTATGTCCCACTGACAGTGGGATATCAGCATAAAGTGTTAGAAATATGTTTGGCTATAAAATATATTATGAGGATGAGGCAGTTTTCATTTGTGGAGCAAGAGTTAAACACTCCCATCTAGTCTGAATTTTTCTTCCTGGTGTAATTTGATGTGCTATGCTAATGCATTGTGTAAGAATCCTGCTTCTCAGATTCAAAACTTATATAGTGATTGGCTTTTTCTAACACAAGATATCCTGAGTTTTCTTAAAAGGACTAAAGCCAAGACATTTCTTTCAAGTTAGTATTATAGGCATTTATTTATAATGATACTGCTAACATTTGATTTTTTTTTTTTTTTGATCAATAGACTAGTCTGTTATTCATCATTTAAGTTCCTTTGGAAAAACAAACCTGCAATTTGGAAAATTTACGTGAAAACTTAGAGACTATCTGCTTAAAGGGGCAAGTGGTGTTTTTGTATTTGCCATAAAACTATTTTATACTGAACTAAGAAAATCCTGTTCCATTTATTCCTTTTGAATTCCCTATCTACATCTGGCTTAGTGCAGTCTAAGCAGTTTTCTCACTGAAAACCTTTCAGCTCTTCATTTTGCCCAGGAAATGAGTAAAACAACTAGGCTTTCTCATTCTTCCAAACAGATGGCTTTTCTGGCTTCCCTCTATACTTAAGCCATCCAGAGCTGACAATTAGTAGCAGGAAGCAAAATAAGAGTTCTAGATTTCCAAAGTGTCACAAAGAAAGACAAATCACTCTCAGCGTTATTTCACAGACGTTATCTGGCTGCAAACAAAGTTGCTTTATATTAGCCTTCAAAATCTTAGCAGACTAGAAAATAGCCTTCTTAAGTAAAAAATTTAAAAGGGCTATTCTCACTAACAGTGAAAAGTATAACTTGTTTTCTTGAATATATAATATATATAGCTGTTTAAAACGTGTGACTTGTCTTAAATTAAGACTAGTTTCAGCCAAGCTTTTAGACATTCAACAAGATGACAAGGCTGTTTCTCCAGAAAAAAGTGTGAACGCTGCCACACAGTAATTTAAAAGTCATCTGTTTATAATGCATCTAATACTACAGATGTTTGCTTACAATAGCAGAGTTGTGTTTCTCACTGAAAGCTGGTGTTATTTGCCACAAAACTTTTCTTTTTGGTGTGTGTCAGCCGAGACCTGCAGCTAGAAAAAGAAGGTCCATTTGTGAGAAACCTATCACCATTGGGTAGGTTCTGTGCATCGTTAGTGATGCTACATGCCAAGTCACTTGATGACAAGTTTCCTCATAAGGGTTGTAGATGGCTATATGTGTGGACTTAAGAAAATGCAATAGGGACTTGATCACTCAAATAGGACATTGATAAGATGAATAAGCAAGAAATTTCATTGATCTGACTTGTTCAAGATTGAGTTGATTAACTAAAAGGGTAAAATGCCAGTTGTTGAAATGAGCGGGCATGAGGAAATAGAGCTGACACTTGACTTAGTGATTATATACCATCATGAACTGTCAGTAAGAAAGTAAAGTTGGAGTGATAGGAATACACAGGCTACTTACACCACTTTGATACACCTTTATGCAGTGCTAGTGAATCTCAAATAGCTTATTTTTCTTACTAGTCATTTGTTCAGCAGCATGGGAGGTGCAAAAATAAAGCAGTCACCATCCACAGAATGTTTTCATAATATAAATGAAGTTGAAAATATTACATTTCCAGATATGTTCCTCCTTTCTCACTTGGAACTCACAAAGAACTTAGTATACATTAAGAACTTTAGTAAGATCCATTTTTGGAATAACTTACCACATGAGAAAGTAAATCTTAAAGTACTTCGAGAAGAATAAAGAGGGCAGAGGAGAGGAGGCATTTGATTCTTACAAGTAAGGAAAAACTTAGCTCAAAATAAATAGTCAGCTGTCAAAAATGAAAAATAGCAAATTTTGACTTTCCTCTCACAGGACAATGCCAAGACCTTTTCGTTTTCATTCTTGGTGAATAGTTTTGCCCGGAATGAATATTTTTCTAGGTGACTAATTTTGTTCTGTCCTGTGTGTTTTTTAATGTACATGGTAAAACAAGATGTCCTGGTTACCATGGTGATACATTGCTTTCCCCCCCCCCTCCCCCGGGTGTCTGTTAAAATGCCAAACCCAATGAAGAGAGATGCAGCACTTGCTTATGCTGTGAATGCCTGTTTCTTTCCACAAATGTGCAACCCTTCTCTTTAGGACCAGAAGTAAGATCACTCTGAGATTTTCAGCTGTAACAAAAGAAATGCGCTCAGGCATGCCAAAATGCTAATTGATTGGCAGCTATTAATTCAGTTACACAATATTTTCAATTATATTTCTAGTCTAGTACTAGGGTTTTTTTATTTAGACTGACTTTACAATTTATCTGTAGAGGCAAGAAATAAGACATGTATTTAGCTATGAACTCTTTCGGCGTCCCATCTTCTGAATAATTTTCAGTAAGGGAAATTTACTCTCTCTTACCTTGTTTGTGTGCAGTGTAATTAATTTGCTTTCCAACCAAGCAGGGTAGTGGAGGTACTTTGTCTCTTAAACTAGATCAGTAGCAATCTGAACTTCATGTGTGGCCTTGACTTTGCACGCTCAAGTGGAGAGGCTCGTCTTCCTGTGCTCTTTCTGTAGATACTGAGAAAGATACAGGTAATGGAGGCACTTTCTGGGCTTCTGCTTCTCCTCCAGAAGATGTTAAGCTTCATGATCGCACTGTTAACCTAAACCTGAAAAGCTCCTACCCTTCATGCTGGGTTTCAGCCCTGAACAGGGATTTGTCCTCTTTAAACTCTCAGTGTTGCTGGTGTCTGTTCCTGTGTGGTGGCAACTAGGTTTAAATAAAAATTCAGTCTTTCATATCCTGTATCAGAGGGCCCTAATCACAGGCTAGGCTTGTCTTTAAAAAACTTTTGTGTTTGGAAAAAAAAAAAGTGCCTAAACGCTAGGCAGATATGTGCCAAGTCTTTTTATTTAGACAGCTACATCTTACTTGAAAACTTCTCATATGTGTTTTTGTGGTTTACATTGAACATACTACATGCTGTTCAGTTTGAGTAACAACAGAGCCCTTTACTGTGGTCTGGGAGTGGAAGGAATATGCGAGGTAGTTGGAACAGTAACAGGGATATTCCATGACCCGACACATCTTTATGTAGGTTGTACGTAATTTAAAGTATTAGTGCAGAACCACTAATGCCCGAGAGTGCTCCATAGGTGTAACAGAGGGAAGTTTCTGAAGGAGAGGGGAAAGAGGAAAGTGTGTGGATGGGAGCTCATAACATCTGCCCCAGGGGTAAAACTCCTGGAGGAAGCTAACTCTGAAAGGCAGTGCTGATGTGAGCACTCCAGTGAGGTCACTATTAACGTGGACTTCAATTTTGCAGTAGCCTTAGGCAGAAACACCTCTGCCCATGCAGGTCCAGCTCCCCATCTAATCCCGTTCAGTCAAAACTTCCCTGTCTTGCATATGTGACATCTTCCAGAACCTGGAAGCATCTGGGCTGTTGTTTTCTTGAAGCCTGAGTCAAAGTTTATACACTAGAATAATAACATGCTCAAAGTAACTGAAATAAAACAAATAAAAAAATAAGTTGCTTAAAATCTTTTGGCCCCAGTATTTCTGTTTTGAAATCTAAAACCTCACTCTTGAGGTTTAAAAACTAAGAATACATTCTGAAAAACAAGGAGCTTCCTTCTTGGTGTACTACTTTTATGTTTAATGAGTTCCAATCTGGAAGTTTTTCTTTTTTTTTTTTTTTTTTTAAATAATGCACTACAGTCTAGCTCTCATTTCATATCTACCTGACTGAAACTAGAAAAAGCCATGTAAATGGGAATACCTCATGAACAAGGAGTGGTTATACATTGTACTGAGTATAGCCTAATGAATTTAATTATTAAAAATAAGTATCAGATCTACTCAACTGCAAATTCTTAGAGCAGTTTGGGTTAGATTGCCCCTACTTTAAATATACGGGCATGAAATGGAAATAAACTAAAAGCTTCCTGAATGTCTTTAACTCTTGTAATTGGGAACTTGCTTTTTCAACATGGAATATGACATCTTTCAGTAACCAAAGTCAGCTCTGCAGTAGTCAGTGCGGGTTATAAGACTCCTGAATTGTCTAACGTACGTAGCCTTTATCAACGACTGGAGATCCTTCAGGTTAATAAATAGCTGTAACTTTGATTTCCTCACACCGTGTTCCCACAAAAAAAAAGTGTCATAAAACCAGGCATTCTACATTTATGGCTGGAGTGGATTTATTTTGAGTAACTATTAGACCAGATGACCACTTATAATCTTGTGCAATTTACCACAACTGCATTTTTCTTCCAATTATGATTTTAGTCTACTATTAATTTTGACATGCTGACTTCAGTAACCACTGTAAAGCCTTTGTCCAAGCAGCATTTGAAGTAGTGGAAATATTATTAAAAACATGCATTTTGTTACTGTATTACTGAATTTGATAATATTGTATGTTTTATTAAAAGTTGTGGCAAAAAGCCTGATGTAAACTGGGTACTGAAGCCACACCTAAATGAGTCAGACGGGTATTTCTTCAGGCAGATTTTGGTTTTTTTTTTTTTTTGTTAAAGTTTAGGCACAAACCAATTTTGTTTATCTAAAGCATTTTGCTTCAGGTAAGAACATTGAAAATGCTTTTTTTGTCGTTGATGATCTTAAAGGAAATCTAGCCTTTCTCATAGTTCTTCTTTACATATGGTAGCATGAATTAAAAAAAAAAAAAAAAAAAAAGGACATTTAAAATTTAGGGCTCTCCAGGGAATACAGCAGGCAGAACTGAGCAGCAAAACAGAGGACCTACAACAAAGAAAACATGAAGTCATTCTGTGTAAGTATGCATATTTAAGCAGAAAATGGTCTTAACACTGTTAAAAATTTGGTTTTTTTTTTCTTTTAGCTCAACAAAAAAAATCTTCCCTTTTATAACTTTAAGTTATTTTCTGTAACTAGCTATTGTTGGAATTTTCTTCTCAAGAATGCAAATGGTTTTGTTTTTTTTTCTTTCAGAAATATGTAAATACAAAATCCAAAAGGCCACCTACAAAGTACCTACAAACAAAATTATTGAGATAATAAAGTAATTAGTGCAGAGATTTCTGAGGGTTGTGCTGAGACAACTCGCATCCAGTCAAGGGCGGTTTAACTCGCATCCAGTCAAGGGCGGTTTATTAGGTTTGGGCCCAACTGTGGAAGTTGACCCTACTGAACCTTAAGCTGGCTTTAGGAAAAGTCTCTCCGCTCTTGTCCAGGGCTTACTGGGCAGCCACCCCAGCAATTCCGCTCAGCCAGACGGTCCAATACAGCTGCCCTTGAGTCAGAACAAATAAGCTTGAGCTGAACTCTGGAGATGAATTCAGCTATAATCTCTCTCATCCTGCATGCCCTTTTTAAGACCCACCGTAGGTCTAGAGCTGTAGCCCAGAACATAAGCCCAGTTTTAACTGCTGTGTTAGGTAGCAAGCAGTAACAGCTTGCTAATGTTCTTGGTGTGAAGGTACCAGAGTACCTGTCACAGAACTAATCTAGATGTCCTCAAGATCAACTTCTCAACTGTGCCGAGTTGTGAAGAACGAAGTTTGTTAGTATTTTCTCAGAAAATATCGTATTTTTCATTTGCTCTAATAATAGGAAAAGCAATCAAGCTATTTCATTGATTGAGCTAGGTAGAAACGGCAATGCTGCTGCTGAAAGCGTGAGCTGTGCAACAGCTTCATCAGAGCTGGACCTTGGGGACTTAGGCACAAACATGAGCTGAGGTTTCAGTGATGTGGAGGGATATAAAACGTCTCAGCTCCTGATTTTGTAGAAAGCACTGATGGGGG